CCAGAATTTTCTCTTCAAAAAGTAAGACAATGCATTTTCAGGTTTACATTAGGCACTAACAGATATCATTGTACGTTGAATTGTTCGTATGAGGACACCACTGTCAGAACTCAGAAGCATAAAGTAGTTTCTTTTCAAATGGTTTTTTTCATGAATATAGTGCTAGTCAGAGCAGCAATAGTAACTGACTGTTTTTAACTATCCAAATTAATAAAAGCAGATACAACGGAACTTTTTTTTCAAAAATCAAACACTTATTAGATACAGACATAGAGGACAGACACATATACCAGTTTGACCTGAACTATCTGAATAGCTTGCAGTAGTGGTGAGAATTGGTGAATAGGTTATCTGAGAGAGAGAGAGAGAGAGAGAGAGAGAGAGAAAGAATTGGTGAAAGGCACATCCAGCCTTTTGCAGTATGAGGTCCGTCAATTGTCAAAGCTGTAATTCCTTCATTTACGAAAAGGTAAATTAGATATGATTTAACAGCTATGTTCCTTACTTTCCTGTGAAATAGACATGAATTTACATGCATTCAGGTGTAAAATAGTTTGTGCTCAACCTTCCAAGAGGAAGATATTTTTCAATGTGCTTACAAACAGTACCATTTGTAGTGAGGTTCAAAGTGCTTACACCTTGAGTAAATTCCTTAACTTTGTAACAGAGTAAATGGTAATAACTCCTTAAGTTGTTCAAGCCACCTTATCAAGAACGAAGGAATAATGGAATAATGCGTTTAAATCCTGATCCAGCCAAAGAAGATGAACAGAGCGAGATCCAAAGCTCCAGAGGTGTCGACTCACCTGGGGGCGCGGCGGCGATTGACCGGAGCGAACACTGAATCCGGCGGCCTCCGATGAGAATCCCAGGGAACGCCGAGAAATGCAGCCACCGTGCTCGCCTCCGTCAAACCACCTTCTTCCTCTCCGGCCATCCATCTCTCTCTACGTTCTCCACTGATTTTTTTTTTACGCCGGTTTCTTCTTGATCCAGCACTCTATTAAAATTCTGGGGCGACCAGTGGAGGAAACCTCGCCGCCGCCGCCGCCCGGCGACCGGCGGCGGCGGGATGAAGGGAAGCGAGGGCTAAACGTACAAAAAGCGCCATCTATAGTAGGATAATTTGTAGAAATGATAGGGACCTTTCCGCAAAGCTCCGGATCGGTGCCATAGCGAATTAACGATCGTAAAAGGGATCATTTTGTGTAATTCCATCAAGAGGGGTATATTTGTAAAACTACTGAGGTACCATTGGTAGACGGTAGTAAGAGCATCCCCGGTAGCTCATATAAATTTCATTCTCTATATTCACATTTAGATGGTCATCTAAAAAGATTCTCACTCCATATTTTTCTTCGCTCCAACAGATCATCCATATTACATCCTTCATATATATTTTAATGTATATTTCAACTACCATACATTTACATTTCCTCTCATCCTCTCTTCTATTCTATTCTACTGCTACTTCGATGGGGGAGGAAGAGGTTGGGCGACGGGAGCTCGTTGGGCGGAGGAACAGCGGGGAGTCGCCGGGCGGAGGAGGACCGGTGGCGCGGTGCTCACCGAGCGGAGGAGGCGCGGCACGGGCGGTCGGGGCGGAGGAGCCGCGGCATCGGCGGCGGGGTCGCGGGGGGAGGAGCCACGGCACCGGTGGCGGGGTCATGGGCGGGGAGCGGCGCGGGCGGTCGGTCGCTGAGCGGAGGAGCCACGGCATCGGCGGTGGGGTCGCGGTGCAGAGGAGCCGCGGCACCGTCGACAGGGTCGCGGGCGGTCGCGGCGTGGAGGAGTTGAGAAGCGGTGGGGACGGCCAGGCGGCGTTGGTCCTTCGAGCGGTGGGGGCGGCCGGGCGGCGTCGGTCCGAGGAGCGGCCGGGCGGAGAGGAGGCGCGGTCGGAGGAGCAGCGGGGCGACGCGGTCAGAGGAGCGGCGGCGCGGGTGGACACTCCGGTGCTCTCCCCCTCCAGATCCACCACCTCTCCGCCTCTACTCCGGTATGCACTTCCTCTTTACCTCTACTCTCCCGCGGTTTCTTGTCCAAATGGTGACGCGAGTTTGATTGGGAGGTGAGCAGTTGAGGATGGCGTGAGGAGAGAGAACCGCCATATTTGGCTTGGGAATGGCTCGGTTTGGAGGACCTCCAAAAATAGCGTGTGCAATGGAGGCTCTGCTGGAGCACTGTTTTTCTCCTCCATGCGCCAAACACTGGATAGATGACTAGATAGAGGAGCTGCTGGGGATGCTCTAATATGACCGGCTCATCGTTTGCCTTACATGAATTCAGCAACCGTCAAACTTTAAATTTTAAAACATATTTTTTTCTAACGCAGTTTTTTTTCACCATTGGTTTTAAGTTACTAAGTACACATATATAAATGTTTTACTCCTAATACCGAGCTAGCTAATCGATGGAATCCTTATAGATATGTCAAAAAAAAATCTATTTACATAGGTCATATCATTGGATTCAAATGGACTGGACTCTTTTAGACAATTAGTTATAGACCTACGCATTGTAACGTCTTTTTATTCAGTTTAGTGGAAAGGTTTGGATCGAGTGGGATGTTTGTTTTTTATAAGATGGTTAGTTTTTCAGGTGAAATTTTTTTATGGGAGGAAGAGATTTTCAAGTGGAAGTGGAGGACAGATGGGACCAAAGGACAACATCTCCCTTTATTAAGAGCGAGATCAATAGTACAGCCTACTGACAGTGATAAATATCATCTACATCAGCTATAGTAGACGTAGCAGCTAGTTTTTACAATAATTGATTCTAACATGTTTCCCAACTCTGAAAGTTCATTAATTTATTTTCATTAATTTATTGCTTTTGGCTAACTGCCTCTTTTCTCTCTTTGCCATGTTTCTCTCCAAGACTCCCATCTACTGCAAACAGACCAATAAAATCTTCTTTGTACCCAATTTTGCCTTGGGGACATCAAGGCTGACCAACAACGCTGTGCTCATAGGCCCCATCGTTCTCCACTTTATTAAGAGCGAGATCAATAGTTAATGCCAAAATTTAAATTTTAAAAGTTAATTTTGAAGTTTTTTCATCAAAGTTTATATTTCAAGATTGGTGTTTAAGTCGCTAAAAACATATATATAAAAGTTTTACCTACAAATTATTATTATTTTGCTAATACGCCATATGGCATATTATCTGTATTTGGCCAAACGATGGGGGCAAGCGAGCAGCTCGACGATTAATCTACCACCGACTTTTCTCTCTCTTCATGTTCTCTCTCTTCCAACCCTGCTTTAATCTGGTATGGATTTTGGTGCAGCCTACTGACTAGACTTATTATAGTAGCTCTAAGTAGTGGAGACATAGGTATCCTCCATATCTCCGCTACACATCACCACCACTGGCCACCATGGCCACCGCTGACTTACCTATATTTGGTGTCAACAATGTAAACATATATTATGTTTTTAGCATGGATGATAATAAACGTGCCATAAGGCTAAAGTGGCAACTTTGATATGAAATTAAGTTAGTTCACAATATTATTTCAATATACACATTGTTTACAGTTTATTTACACGTGTAATTGTGCTTTGTGTTCTCTGTGCGATAAATTAATGATTTGATCACGGTACATATCCTTCCTATGATTATTATCATTTGGATAATACATGTAGTGTGTTCATGATTCATGAACAGATTTGTGCAATAGAATGACAAACTTTGTTCACATCATAAATTTTTAATCACTTATTTGAGAGAATTTCATGTGCCTATGAGAATTCACTCGATTCCTTATGTGCCCCTGAATTTTGCCTCATCCTCTTTGCATGTCCCGAGTTTTCATTTTGATCTCCTCTATACTTGTTTTGTTAGTTGACCATTATATATTTTTCAAATTGATTATACTGCCCCCTCTCATACTTAGTATGTGCTAAAAATATTAGAAAAATATTTATTTATAAAAAGCAATGGGAATATAATTATTTGATCACAATTTTTTAGATAATTAAGATTTCTAAATAGATTTCAAATTAACTTTATGAAATATGTATAGATTTTCACCAAAATTTAAACCCAAAAGATAAATAATTTTGGTTCTTAATTTTTGACTTAAACTCTTATATGGATTTAATAAAAAAATTCAAAAACTTAAATTTTGTTTTTCAAATTTTACATCAAATAATTATGTCCCATTGATTTTGTTGTAACTTACAGTACAATTTTTCACACTGTGATTTATGAAGTAGGTAGCATGTAAGTATGAGAAAGGGGCAATATAGTTATTTTTGAAAAAAAAAAAGTCCAATAGTCAACTAATGGAACGAAGGTAGAGGAGATCAAGATGAAAACTCGAGGACACGTAGGGGATAAGGCAGAACTTACGGATATGTAGGGAATTTTCTCTTTACTGGCCAAAAGGGCCTTCCCGTAATCTCATATATCTCTTTACTTGATTAGGCCAAAAGGGCCTTCCCATAATCTCATATATGAGTGCATGCATTTTGTTCTACATGTTTGGTTCATCTTCTACCAAAGTTTTCTTCCATCAATCCATCATCATCTTCCACCAAAGTCTCCTCCCTCCATCATCTCCCACTAAAGACTTATTGTTAGACATCCTACCAGCATGCATGTGAGAAGTTTTCATTTTTACGACTTTGTCTAGTAGAATGAAAGTGTTTCTTTGTCTAACTATCTCCTTATCTGCAAATAGAACAATAAATGAGTCAGCAACATATTTTGTAAACCAGCCCAGTCATTCCTGGTTATGTACATTGACCACAGCATGATTGTCAAACAAGGCATCTGGCATGATATATGGAGAATCCAGCCAGACATTAAAAAAGTTGAGTCACTGTGAGTTGGGGTGGAAGAGAAATTACAAGCCACACTAACCACCCTACATGCAAATTTTGCCAGAGAACAGGAGATGAAATGGCTGACATGATCACTTTTGCAACTACAGAGATGAGCATGTCCTCTTCGAATTTGCGAGACCAAACCAGGAAGAAATCAATCTAAAGGAATGTCTGTAAACAAACATATAATTAAAGTAGTTGGAATATACAAAGGAAGGAGCAGTGACTATGATGGAACCAACCGATGGAAGGCACTGAAACTACAGATATTGTTGTACATTAAATTGGTCATACACAGGACATCATGGTCAGAATTCAGGAACAGAAAGTTAGCTTCTTTTGTGAACTATATTCTGTCACACACATGACGCTAGTAGGGTAGCAATAGTAACTAACAGAATTTTACATACCCAAACTAGTAAAAACAGATACAATAGCAGTTCTCTAAGAAAGAAGGCATCCGAACCTACAATAGCATCACATATACTCCTTTCACCTAAACTGACTAAATAATCAGTAGTAGCTAGAATCTGTGAAAGGCATACCCAGCCTTCTAAACTATATTGTCGAAGCGTAGACAATGTAATTTCTTTCTAGAAATTTTTCCCCCAGATTAAGATTTGTGTCTGTCTATTCTCAGAGGTAGATCGTGTTCCTCTTACCAACCATGCGTCGCGGTTTTTGTTTCTCATACGTAACTATGTAGTTACAGTAGGGTGGAATGCGAGATCTCCAGACCAGCACATCAAACTTATCTTCAACAGGAATATCACCACCCAGTAGTATGTCTCGTGACGTCAGCTTTGGTAGCTCACCTTCTGCAGGGCCAGCCACCCTAACATCATAAACCATGAAATCTTGAACTTGACCATCCACAACGGCTATCCTGCTCAAATCAACAGGGATATTTCTTTCGAAAAGATCCTCAGGGTGTAGACCAGAGGAAGTCAAGTGCTTTCGTGCCAGCTCTCTTAAGAATAATAAGATTCTCTTCCAGAATTGAGTGTTAGGATTAGCTCTTAATAGTTCACCAAACATAGTTGCACCAAGAAATGATCCATTCATCTCAGTAGATAGCTGCATGGCCAGAGATGCTAGTTTTGGATGCTCATCAGGATCCATACTTCCAAAAGCAAGTGCCTTGAAGTAGTACCAGTACTCTTCTTCAGATAGCCTCTTCACCCTGATGGGTTGGCTAGTACCAAACTTAGCAATGTCCTCTGTTCTACCTATCACTACAACCTTAATTCCAGTAGCGGGCATATTCTGCAAATATGATTGGAATTTTGTCCAAGCTGCCTCATCCACATCCCAAATGAACTCAATAACAAATAAATATTTCCCTTGAGAAGCCTTGGAGTTAAGCGAGAGCTCTCCGGTCTTCAGATCGTCTTCTTTAAAGAAAAATATATGGGAGAAGCAATCGCGCACCCTCTCATCCAGGCAAGCATGTTGCACAAGAGTTTTTTTCCCAATCCTTTGAGGGCCAATAATAGGAAGAATGCTAACATATGGATCATGAGGATCATTGCAAAGCAAGAAATTGATGACTTGCTCCTTCTCAATACGGCGACCGAACATACAGTTATCTATGTATAGATATGTACTGTAAGGCTGGCGTGGTAGACGAGGGTGGCTACCAAGGAGAATGACAAATTCCCTCATATCTGCAATCTTAGTTTCTAAACCATCAACAACATCTTTCAGGTTTGTTCTGCTCCTGCTACCAAAGGCTACTGGTGTGCGTTTGCTTATGGCATCAGCAAAACGAAAGCGCTTGGCAGAGTTACAGGCAGACAAGGCAAATGACTGAATCTCATGACTCACCTCATATTCGGGGGGTTGGAACTTGATTTTGTCGAGCATGTAGTATCCGAGGTAGAATCCCTCAACAAGTCCCTTTAGCTGCAGGATCATTCCTTGATTTGTGATATGGCGTCCCCCTGCTTCCTCAACAACAGAGTGCATCCTCAGCAAGATGCGTTCCAGCCTCCTACGATCATCCTCCTTATGTATATGGTTTCTGTAATTTTGTGTTACCGAAGAGATGAACCGGCTGATAAGATCAGTTGCCACAGCAGAAATCAGAATCTCCATGCTCACCAGAGCTCTGCTTGGAAGCAAATGGTCAAAATGGGAGTTTGCAAAGTGACCCAGGCTTCTAGAATCTAGAAGGTTACAAAGAAGTAGGCAAAGAGACCAAGACAAGTCTACAAGAAAATAGTAACAGGTACTGGAAGCATTTAACACGAGATGGCTCTTCCTGAGCCAGAATTTTCTCTTCCAAAAGTAAGACAAAGAAAGAACTCGGAACTATAAAGTATTTAGTTTCTTTTCAAAAGGTTCCTTTCATGAATATGGTACTAGACAGAGCAGCAATAGTAACTGTCTAACTGACTGCTTTCAAATATTCAAATTAACAAGAGCAGATACAAAAGAATATGTTTTCAAAAGAAACACTTATTCTATATAGAGATGGTGTAGAGACATATACCAGTTTGACATGAATATAACATGAAAAAAAGTCAAAATGACTTATAATATGAAATGGAGGTAGTAGCTTGCAGTAGTTGTGAGAATTGGACAATTGGTGAATAGATCACAGCCTTTTGATGTATGAGGTCAATTGTCAAAGCTGTAATTCCTTCCTTTACGAAGAGGTAATTAGATATGATTTAACAGCTATGTTCCTTTCTTTCCTTTGAAATAGACATGAATTTACATGCATTCAGGTGTAAAATAGTTTGTGCTCAGCCTTCCAAGAGGAAGATATTTTCAATGTGCTTACAAACAGTACCATTTGTAGTGAGGTTGACAGTGTTTACACCCCAGGTAAATTCCTTGTAACATAGTAAGTGGCAACTCACTAAGTTGTTCTCGCCGCCTTATCAAGAGCGAAGGACTAATGGAATGATGGGTTTAAATCATTTAATTAAGCAAAAGTGGCTACTATACCATACTACTATCCAGCCGAAGAAGATGAACATTGCCAATAGAAAAAAAAACTGACAAATCCTGACTCAATTGTATACTTTCTAGAGGGATTAGTTCAAGCAGATTAAACCATAATGACCAGCATGATCGTAGCCAAAGAAGATGAACATTGCCAATCAGATTAGTTGTAGATCTCGCACGAAACTGTACACAAGCTATCTATCGATACTATCACCAGATTAGTTGCAAAATCCCGATGCATGCACACAGCCAGATCCAAAGCTCTAAAGGTGTCGACTCACCGGGGCGCGCGGCGGCGAGTGACCGGAGCAAACCTCGAATCCGGTGGCCTCCGACGAGAATCCCAGGCCACGCACACCTCCGTCAAACCACCTTCCTCTCTATGTTTTCCTCTGATATTTTTTTACGCCGATTTCCTCTTGTTCCAGCGCTCTATTGAAATTCTGGGGCGGCCAATGGCGAAAACCTCACCTCCGCCTCCGCCTCCGCCGCCGCCGCCGCCCGCGCTGCATCCCGGCGACCGACCGGAGGCGGCGGCGGCGGGATGATTTGCAAAAACGGTAGGGACCTTTCCGCAAAACTCCGTTTCGCTGCCATTGTGATTGTAGAAAGGGGTCATTTTGTGTAATTCCATCCATTCCATAGGGGTATATTTATAAAAATACTGATAGCTACCAGTAGCGAACTAGCGATCACACATTGGGTTCAAATGGGCTGAGCTCCTTCAGACGATATGGGCCGTCCGCCGTCGTTTTCTTCTGTTTGCACCATATCGCCGACACCGGTTGCCGTCTACTTCCTCCATCCCATAAAAAACTAACTTAATATAAGGGATTTTGAGTTTTTCTTACAATTTTTGATCACTCGTCTTATTTAAACTTTTTTAAAATTATTATTTATTTTATTTGTGACTTACTTTATTATCTACAGTATTTTAACCACAACTTTTTGTTTTTTATATTTGCAAAAAAAATTTAAATAAGACGAGTGGTCAAACGTTGCAATCAAAAACTCAAAATCCCTTATATTGTGGAACGGAGGGAGTATGACACATCCTATTACTACGAATTTATGACACTAAAGACATTTTTGTTAGATATTCTACAGCATGTGAATTGTTGATCTCCAATTATCCATCATCTTCACTTACCATCAAAGAAATCGTTTTTACGACTTGGTCTAGTAGAATGAAAGTGTTTCTGACTATCTCCTTATCTGCAAATGGAATAATAAATGAGTAATCAACATATTTTATAAAGAATAAATTACACCCACGATACAGGAACTTTGATAGGTGGGTGTGATCTAGTGTAAGAACTTGAAAAATAAGTAGACTGGTACATGAATTTGGCAATCATGGAATTTTAGTTTAAAAACACTGATACATACCTTTGATTAATCCTAATATTTTAAGGTTAACTGCTAAATCGTTGGCTCATGGATTCAATTTTGTGTTTTGCCATTTTCGTCACCCGAGACAATGAATATATTGATTAGTCGAATCGCTCGAAAATTATATTAATTAGTTTGCATGCAGTTACTTTTGATATCATATATTTTTTAGTTTCAAATCAATAGATTATTTTATTATTATAACTAAGCAATTCAAAGCAATACATAATACATGTAGATTCTTGTGGAGATAGCTTGAGTGGCTGGTTTTTTATATAGCATAAAAAGTATGGTATGGAATATTGATATTTTAACCAAAATACACGCACTAGCCAAGTTATTGCACCTATATGCTTATTTTTTAAGTTCTTGCATTAGACTATACTCTGCTACCAAGTTTATGTACTGTAGACACAGTTTACTCTTTTATAAACCAGTCTAGTCATCCATTGGGTTTACTAATCAACTTGTTTATGATGAATTATTCCTGGCTTTGTACATTGAATACAGCGTGATTGTCAAACAAGACATCTGGCATGATATGGTGAATCCTGCGAGACAATAAAAAAAAGTTGATCAGTGTGGAAGAGAACTTAGAAGCCACACCCTAACCATCCTTCCTACAAATTTTGCCGTAGAAACAGGTAAAAGGAAACAGTCAATGATTTCATCTTCACACCACAAATTTGACACCTGAGACCTTTCCAACCTCTGTTCAGCAGAACAAGCTGAGGAAATTTTTATTTTTCATAAGGATTTGAACTCCACACAAATTCTTGTGTGGAAAAAGAGTATTGCCAGCTTTCAGAATCTGGTATAAAATCCCACCTTTTGGCCAACCCGGAAAAAAATAATCTAGTAAAAGCTTGGCTTTGTTTAATTCAGCGCAAAGTTTGGATTTTGGTTGAAATTGGAGATGATGTGACTGAAAAGTTGTGTGTATGACAGGTTGATGTGATGAAAAAGGACTGAAGTTTGGATCCAAATTTTGGATCTAAACACAGCCCTTCTCACCCTAAAGAATTCGACCTCTCCCAGGTTTCAAAGTTTTTTTTTTCTCAAAAGCGAAAGAAGGCTGCGCTTCATTTTATTAAGGAGAATTTACACAGGAGATACCGAAAGGACTGTCCCCCCCAAACATGTCACACAGGAGAGACTGAAATGGTTACAAAGTGACTAAAGTGAGGATTCCTCTTCTTCTGACAATTTGTATGAGAAAAAAGATTTGATCAAATCAATCGACATTTTCCTGGTTTCCCTACAAAAGAGTTCGTCTAAGCTTCATAGGTCCAAAAATTACTATTCATCACCTCTGTCACCTAGGTCTTTTTATTAAAAGTCATGTTATATAACCAATGGAAGTTATCAGGCATCAGCAGTAGTTTGCCTCCCTATCCATTTATCCACCCAGAACGAAGTTCTTTAACCATTGCCAACTGTTCTTACCGGCCACCAGAAAAAAAAATAGAACCATGCAAAAAGAAAAAGGAAACAAATAAACAATCATTTGATACATTCTGTGAGGAAAAATTCAGACAACCCAAGCAAAAAAAAAAAAAATCCTTTCAACATGTCAAGCTTTGGATTGAAATAAAAGGCATTTAAAAAAAATCCTTTCAACATGTCAAGCTTTGGATTGAAATAAAAGGCATTTATCTTCAGCCTGACAATGATGACAATGTAGTGTGTTGTGGTTGTGGATGTCCGAATATTCCACACAGTCAGTCTACCTTGTGGAATTCCAAGGTAGCCTCATAACTCTATTTCGAAGACCCAAACTGTAAACAAATGCAGATTCTTCACTGGGATTGCAAATCAGAACAAGATCTTAACAGCCGATAATAATTTGGCTACGCGAGCAACGGAGCAAGGCCACACCATCCGATCATCTGCAACAAACATGCAAGACTGCCATGCATCTTCTTCACCCTAATGATCAGGAAGTTTGGGACCCTGTTTTGAGGTGAGTAAATTGCAAAAACATGGATAAAATCCGACCAAAACTTGTTGATAGTTTTACAAGCTGGTGGCAGCATGTCCTAGCATACCAAAAAGAGATGAAGAGGAAGTTTAATAGCCTGGTAATTTACAAATATTGGAAGGAGAGGAATAGAAGAATCTTCCAAAAAGAAATCTGGATTTCTCAACATCCAAGAGGAGATCGAGCAGCATGAAAGACTAAACCAAGAAGAAATTAATCTAAACGAATGTCTGTAAAAAAAAACATATTAGTAAGGTAGTTGAAGTATATAAAGTCAGCTGTGACTACGATGGAACTGATGAAAGGGGCTGAAACTAATTGAGAAGAACACTAAATTGGCCATACATAGGGCATCATAGTCAGAACATTGAAGTACAATATTTTGAAAACATTTCTGTCACACACATATATAATACTAGTCAGATAGCAATAGGAATTAACTGCATCTTGCATATCCAAACTGATAAGAGAAGAAACAGAGTTTTCTTTAGAAAAGAAAAACGTTTATGACCAATACATGTGCTACTTAGACCTGAACTGTTTGAACAATTTCAATAGTAGTTCGAATCTGTCAATGGCATAGACAGCCTTTCGAACTATACCATCGACAATATAATTAATTCCTTCGTAGAAAGTTTCCATCAGCTTAAGGGTTATGCTTATATTTCTCTCAATGCTTGATGGTTCCTCCTGCCAACCTTGTACCGTCGTTTTTGTTTCTCATAAGTAACTATGTAGTTAGAGTACGGTGGGATGCGGGATTTCCATACCAGCACATCAAACTTGTCTTCAGCAGGAATATCAGCACCCAGTTTCAAATCTTGTGATGTTAGTTTTGGTAGCTCACTTCCAGGGCCAGCCACCCTAACATCGTAAACCAGGCAGCCTTGAACTTGAGCACCCACAAAGGCTACCCTGGTGAAATCAAGAGGGGCATTTCTTTCAAGAAGATCTTCAGGGTGTACACCAAAGGAAGACAAGTGCTTTTGTGCCACCTCTCTTATGCATAATAACATGCTCTGCCAGAACTGGGTGCTGGGATTAGCTCTTAATAGTCCACCTACTACGGTCGCACCAAGAAATCCTCCCCTCATCTCAGTAGCCAACTGCATACCCAGAGATGCTAGCTTTGGATGCTCATCAGGGTCCATACTTCCAAAGGCAAGCGCCTTGAAGTAGTACCAGTACTCTTCTTCAGACAGCCTCTTCAGCCTGATGGGTTGGGCTGTCCCAAACTTAAGAATGTCCTCTGTTGTACCTATCACTACAACCTTAATTCCAGTACCGGGCATATTCTGCAAATATGATTGAAATTTTGTCCAAGCTGCCTCATCCACATCCCAAATGAACTCAATAACAAACAAATATTTCCCTTGAGAAGCCTTGGAGTTAAGCGAGAGCTCTCCGGTCTTCAGATTGTCTTCTTTAAAGAAAAATATATGGGAGAAGCAGTTGCGCACCCTCTCATCCAGGCAAGCATGTTGCACAAGAGTTTTTTTCCCAATCCTTTGAGGGCCAATAATAGGAAGAATGCTAACATATGGATCATGAGGATCATTGCAAAGCAAGAAATTGATGACTTGCTCCTTCTCAATACGGCGACCAAACATACAGTTATCTATGTATAGATATGTACTGTAAGGCTGACGTGGTAGACGAGTCTGGCTACCAAGGAGAATGACAAATTCCCTCATATCTGCAATCTTAGTTTCTAAACCATCAACAACATCTTTCAGGTTTGTTTTGCTCTTGCTACCAAAGGCTACTGGTGTGCGTTTTCTTATGGCATCAGCAAAACGAAAGCGCTTGCGAGAGTTACAGGCAGACAAGGCAAATGACTGAATCTCATGACTCACCTCATCTTCGATGCTCTCTTCTTCGGAGGGTTGGAACTTGATCTTGTCGAGCATGTAGTATCCGAGGTAGAATCCCTCAATAAGTCCCTTTAGCTGCAGGAGCATTCCTTGATTTGTGATATGGCGCCTTTCTGCTTCCTCAACAACAGAGTGCATCCTCAGCAAGATGCGCTCCAGCCTTCTACGATCATCCTCCTTACAAGTATGGTTGTTGTAATTTTGCGCTAAAGAAGAGATGAACCGGCCGATAAGATCACTTGCCACAGCAGAAACCAGAAACTCCATGCTTACCAAGCTAAAGCTCTTCTTGAGTTCTTGGGAGCAAGTAGTCAAAATGGGACTTTTCAGAGCGAGAGAAGATCATAGAGGTGAAAAAGAAGCTAGCTATAAGAGTCAATGACAACTCAACAAAAAAATAGTAACAAGTGCTGAAGGCAGTTCACGCAAGCTGGCTCTATCTGAACCAGAATTTTCTCTTCAAAAATAAAGACTAAGCATTTCCAGATTTGCATGTTTATACTTTTCATTACTGGCTATAAAGCACATGCCGATTAGTAACAATTAGGAAGTATAGTATCATCACTTATGACAAATCATAATATATATATATATATATATATATATATATATAAACAAAACACATACAAACTATCCATATTTAATTTCAGCATATTTCTTAAATATACCATATTGCAAAAGTATGCTGCATGTAAAATAAAACCAAACAAATTTTGCTCATCAAATCTACTAATTTAAAAGTTACTGGCGATCAAAGTGAAAACAATACCAGTCAATGTTGACTAGTAGTTGGGAGCAGAGTATATGTTCCTTTGTCTATCTGACTATCTCCTTGTCTGCAAATAGAATAATGAGTGAGTCAGCAGCACATCATATAAACCGTTCAGTGCGTTTACAAATCAACTTGGTTCTGAAACCCTGGTCAAAAAAAAAAAAAAAAACTTGGTTCTGAAACAAGCATTATTCCTGGTTGTGTGCATTGACCACAGCATGGTTGTCACTCCAAATCTCCAATATAAAAAAGGTATCTGGCATGATTTGGAGAAGAATTCAGCCAAGCATTAAAAAAGTTGATCACTATGAGTAGGGGTGGAAGAGATATTACAAACCACCCTCCACACAAATTCTGCCAAAGAACAGGTAAAGAAGACAGTCAATGATTTCATCTGTCCCATAAATTTGACATCTTTGTCACCTTTCCAACCAGTACTAAGCAGAACAACGAGAGGAAAATTTTGATCAATCCACAATTTCTGACAAGTTTAGATGAGAACAAAGATCTATCAAATCAATCCACATTTTCTGGGTTTCTCCTACAAGAGTTCTTCTAAGCCTTGTTCTTCCAAAAGTTACAATTCATCACCTCTGCCATTTAGATCTTTTTGTTAGAAGTTATCTTATATAACCTAGGAAAGCTATCAGGCATCAGCAGGAGTTTGCTTCCGTATCCATTTATCCACCCAGAACAAAGTTCTTTACCTGTTGCCTATTGTTCTTACCAGCTATCAGAAAAAAATAGAGCCATGCAAAAAGAACTAGAAAATAATATTTGGATGCATTCTGTGAGGAGAATTCACATAACCCAGCAAGTGTGTGAACAATTGTCAAGATTTGGATTGAAATACAAAGCATTTATCTTCAGCCTGACGATGAGGCCTATGTAGTATGTTGTGGATGTCCAATGGGCAATATTCCACAAAATCAGTCTACCTTGTGGAATTCCAAGGTAGACTCAGAAGTCTTACTTGGATTGCAAATCAAAACATGATCTTGAAAAGCCGATAATTTGGACAACTGCAACTTGGATTGCAACCAACATGCATGGTAGGGCCACTGTTTTAAGGTGAGTCAATTGCAACATCATGGAGATAGCCCAGTCCGATCTTTTTTGACAATATCGTGAGCTTGGTGGCATGAAGCATTTCTTAGAGGAAATTCAAAGGCCTGGTAACTTACACATGTTGGAATATTTGGAAGGAGAGAAGTAGAAGAGTCTTCCAAAATGAATGCTGGATTTTGCAGGATGGCCTCTTCAAGATCAAAAAGGATATCAAGCCACAACAGATATCAGACCAGGAAGAAATTAATCTAAACGATTGTCCATAAAAAACATATCAATAGATAATTCAAATATAGAAAAGAAATCAGCAGCTGTGACTATGATGGAATTGATGAAAGCAACTGAAACTAATTCAGCAGTAACAGACATTGTTGTACAATAAATTGGTTGTACACAGGACATCATACTCTCAAAGTAGTTTCTTTTGAAAATGTTTCCGTCACACACATAATAGTTAGGGTGGCAATAATAATTAACTGTATTTTACATATCCAAACTAATAAGAGCAGATACAACAGCACTTTCTTTTAAAAAAGGAAACATCTATGAACACACAGTAGCGGCACATGCTACTTCGACCTGAACTGTTGGAATAATTTCAGTTGTAGTTAGAATCTGTCAATGCATACCCAGCCTTTTAAACAGTACTGTCCACATCTTAATTCCTTGGCAGATTTTTTCCTGTTAAATTAAGATTTCTGCTTATATTTTCTCAATGTTAGATGGTATTCCTCTTGCCAATCGTGTGTTGTGGTTTCCTTTTCTCAAACGTAACTATGTAATTACAATAGGGTGAAATGTTAGATCTCCATACCAGCGCATAAAACTTATCTTCAACAGGAATATCACCACCCAGTAGCATGTCTCATGACGTCAGCTTTGGTAGCTGACCTTCTGCAGGGGAAGCCACCCTAACATCATAAACTAGGAAACCTTGAACTTGACCATCCACAAAGGCTATCCTGCTGAAATCAACTGGGGTATTTCTTTCGAAAAGATAGTCAGGGTGTACACCAGAGGAAGACAAGTGCTTCTGTGCCACCTGCCCACCTCTCTTACGAATAATAAGATTCTCTGCCAGAATCGAGTGTTAGGATTAGTTCTTAATAGTTCGCCATATAAAGTTGCACCAAGAAATGATACATTCATCTCAGTAGCTAGCTTCTTATGAACCCTCAACATTCTACTCAATCAACAACCAGCACAAGGGGAAAACCAACAACTCCAGCTCAATTTCTCCAATACTTGGGGTCACAAGTAGCAGAATGGGAACAGGGATTGGGGATGAGAATTCTAGGCAAGGAATTAGAGAAAGTAGACTTGGAATTTAGAGAATAAAGAGTTGGAGAATCAGGAAGAGCATGAGGAGGAAGGAGGCTGCAGCCATCAGATTTTCTGTAAATTCATCGACGCTTCCTGCTGTGACGATTGGTCCTTTTTGTAGTGGCAAGCTTGACAATAGATTGGGCCTAATAGGCCTTCGCTTTACCTGCATTCCAACCTGGCCCACGTGCGTGACATAGCTGCATGGCCAGAGATGCTAGTTTTGGATGCTCATCAGGATCCATAATTCCAAAGGCAAGCGCCTTGAAGTAGTACCAGTCGTCTTCCTCAGACAGCCTCTTCACCCTAATGGGTTGGGTTGTCCCAAACTTAGGAACATCCTCTGTTCTACCAATGACTACAACCTAATTCCAGTACTGGCCATATTCTGCAAATATGATTGGAATTTTGTCCAAGCTGCCTCATCCACATCCCAACTTAATAACAAATAAATACTTCCCTTGAGAAGCCTTGGAGTTAAGCAAGAGCTCTCCAATCTTTAGATCATCTTCTTTGATGAAAAATATATGGGAGAAGCAGTTGCGCACCCTCTCATCCTGGCAAGCATGTTGCACAAGAGTTTTCTTTCCCATCCTCTGTGGGCCGATAATCTTAGCAAAGCAAGAAGTTGATGACTTATCTTTGTCAATACTGCGACCAAACATACATTTATCCGTAAATAGATATGTGCTATAAGGCTGACGAGGTAAACGAGGGTAGCTGCCAAGGAGCATGACAAATTCTCTCATATCTGTGATCTTAGTTTCTAAACAATCAACCATCTTTCAGGTTTGTTGTGCTCCTGCTACCAAAGGCTACTGGTATGTGTTTTCTTATGGCATCTGCAAAACGAAAGCGCTTGGCAGAATACAGGTAGACAAGGGAAATGACTGAATATCATGACTCACCTCATCTTTGATGCTCTCTTCTTCAGGGGGTTGGAACTTGATATTGTCAAGCATGTAGTATCCGAGGTAGAATCCCTCAGTAAGTCCCTTTAGCTGTAGGAGCATTCCTTGATTTGTGATGTGGCATCCATCTGCTTCCTCGACAACAGAGTGCATTCTTAGCAAGACGCGTTCCAGCCGTTTATGATCCTCCTCCTTACATGGTTGCTGTAATTTTGTGCTACCGAAGAGATGAACCAGCTGATAAGATCACCTGCCATAGCTGAAATCATAATCTCCATACTAAACCGAGCTCTGCTTGGGAACAAGTGGTCAAAATGGGAGTTTGCAAAGTGAGCCAGGCTTCTAGAGGTTACAAAGAAGTAGGCAAAGAGACCAAGACAAGTATACAAGAAATTAGTAACAAGTCCAAGTCCAGGAAGCAGTTCACACGAGATGGTTCATCTTGAACCAGACTCTTTCTCTTCAAAATGTAACACAAAACATTTCCACATACTTTCCTATGTAGTAGTAGACATGAATTTACATGCATTTAAGTAAAATAGTTTGTGCTCTTCCAAGAGGAAGATATTTTCAATGTGCTTACAAACTGTAAGCATTTGTAGTAAGGTTGTTCTAGCCGCCTTATCAAGAACGAAGGAATAACATAATGATGGAATTTTAATCATTCGATTAGTCAAAAGTGCTACTATACCAATACTACTATCCAGCCAAGAAAGATGAACATTGCCATTAGCCATGATCTTAATCCAGTGTTTGCGCGTAAAGGCATTTTCCTAGCACGGCATTGCACACAAGAGCGAGATATAGAGCTCCAAGGCATCAACTCACCGGGGCGCGCGGCGGGCGAGTGACCGGAGCGAACCTTGAATCCGGCGGCCTCCGACGGGAATCCCAGGGAACGCCGAGAAATCCAACCACCGCGCACGCCTCCTGCCAACCACCTTCCTCTCCGGCTATCCATCTCCTCCTCCGCCGCCGCCACCGCCGCCACCAGCTGCCTGCAACCTCACTGCTCGATCTCTCTCTCTACGTTTTCCTCTGATTTTTTACGACGATTTCCTCTTGACCTAGCACTCTATTGAAATTCTCCGGTGGCCATTGGATGAAAGTGAAACTTCGCCTCCGGCGCCGCCGCCTGCGCTGCATCCCGGCGACCGGCGGCGGCGGGATGACGGTTGACGGGGGAGCGGAGCGGGGCGGGGCCAAATGCAGCTTCGGAAATTTGTACAAAGTGTAGGGGCCTTTTCCGCAAAGCTCCGATAGGGGCCATTTTGTAAAATTCCATCCGCATGGAGGGGTATGTATGTAAATTATCATTTGTAAATGGTAAAGAAATCCATTTTAAAAAATCACAGGGTAACAAGAGTACCTTTAGAGCAGGTACAATAGGTGGCTATAAGCCAGCTATAAACATATTTTAAAGAGATAAATGAAGAGAGAGAAGAGCAGCGGGCTACAGATTTGTAGCCAGCTGCAGCACGGACTCCAAGACGTAATGTGTGTATGACAGGTGGGACCAGGTATTAATAGTATAGTAAGCAACTATTGTATGAATTGGCTATTACATTGGCTATAGACGATTTGGAGCTAGTAGTGGGCTGCACTATTGACCTTGCTCTTGTACAGTATGTTGTCTACATAGGGGGTTTTGAACTTTATGCCACTCTCGCTCTCCTACACCGATAATGTTTTATCAAATACCACCTTCCTAAAAATTTTTGATTATTTACCATCTAAATCCACTAAATTATTTTTATTGTGCCATTGTTGTGAACTAAGTCAACAAACCAAAGGATAAATGACCATTGCCCTTATCTTCCGTGAAAAGAGATTGAGGAGGAGCTTAGCCTCTGGGTGGAAATGGTTGCCCTCCCGTCATAGCCACTTCGAACGAGTTAAAGCCACACTAGCAACCCCCTCCCTTCTTCACCCCTCCGAACGAGCTAGAGATGGTGTATCCTCTGTGACTCTGTCGTCCTTGCCGCACCAGAGGTAATCGAGGATGAGCCACGTCTAGCTTAAAATGTCGATCTGGACGTTGACCGCCACGCTGCCAACTGATATGCTTTTGGTTGCAACACTGTGCCACTTTGAAGGCGCCATGCCCGTTTGCGACATCGCGTTGCCACCCAATATAGAGTCATCGGAGCTCAGTTCATAACCACTGGCCAACATGTGACGACGTCGTTCCTTCGTGGCTTCTCCTCCATGAATTGGGAAGAGGAAGAAGATAAGGGCACCTAGGTCATTTTTATCCATTCTGCTTAGTTTGCTGGCTAAAATGGCAAATTTGAAACAGCTTAGTCATCTTAGGTGGCAAATAATCAAAGTCTTTTGGAGGAGTGACATTTGAGAACATGCCATCCGGGAGAGTGGCATAAATTTTAAAAACCCGTATGTATAACACTAGTACTAGATCAACTTGTATTCACTTAGATGTGATACCTAACCTTATGTTTCATGTTGACGTTAACATTATGTCACTAAAATAGTTCGATTTGAGCTTCGTATATCGGCAAAACCTAACAGATATAACATGTTGTACCCCTCACATTTAAGGAGTGGGCAAGGAAGTCACCAAACCTCCTTGTCATTAGACTCGTCACACACTCATAACTCCTCATCGGCATGAGCATTGGCTCTCTCCTTCAATTGAGCCCCATCCCTCTTACAATTGTTGTTGCCTATATCAGAAGTACTATGTCACCAGATTCGACTTCTATTTCTTTTCTTTTTGTCATTGCCGACTGATGCTTAATCACATTGTTGCGCCCCTTCTTATCCTCTTCTTGATGCTAATTTACCGTCTTTCTTGCAATTTTTTCCATCGCTGTCCTAACTCAATATCGAGTTCCCAACCATATACAATGTCTAGCCAACATACATGGGGGCTACAATGACGGACATTGAGCTTGCTACTTACAAATACTACTTTTTTTCTCTTTCTTTTTTCTTTTCTTCGTTTTCTTTCACTTATTCATGATTATATCAAGGTATATCAAACAAAGAAAATTAGACGGAATTTCAGTTCTTCTCTTACGAACTTAAAGTTTTTTTTTTTTGACAATACAACTCAAAGTTGGTTTATCTAATGACATTCGTAATTATACTCCAATATAATATTATCCATATCATCAGTGTGGCACCTCTACTCGGATTGAGGTGTTTTCAGGCTTTTAGCCGTCCGTTTCACAGTGAACGACCGAGATCGATCGCTACAGTGATTCGTGAATTGTAATTATACACAATTGTAACTACGAGATTCCAGTCAAAAAAATTGTAAGCTATAATGAAAAAAAAATGCAAATCACTGTTTTCTATTGTAACAACAAACTCATTTTACTATGCGTCTCTACCTTTTTCTTCTACCCGACCCTCCACGAAGAGATGGGTTGGGAACCCATGAGAAAGAACACAGCCTTATACCTATCCAATACTTGTCGCCCTCCGCCTAGCTCCAACATATATTCATATGCTCTTTAACTTATTAATAACTCGTATCCAAAAATTAAATTTAAAATTTCTATTTTGAGCGTTGATTTTAAATTCGAATTTGATTTTAATTCTAGGGGTAGTATATTTGCCGGCTTTGAATTCCCGAATCCCGGCCGGACTCCGCCACCACCGCAATGCCGCGCCGCTCCGCCTCCCGGTACGCCGCCTACTGGGCCGCCGACGCGCTCGCCGGCGACGACGCCCTCGACTTCTCCCTCACCAAGGGTAGGGTTCATCACGCCGGGGTCCCCCTCCTCCTCCTCCGCGCTCGCCTCCTCAATTTCTTCCTCCTCTCACCACCTAGGGTTGTTGCGCAGCGCTGGTGGGCGTCTCGCCGGATTCCCTCACGGGCGCCCCCGAGGCCGTGCGGGAGCGCGTCGCGCTGCGGTGCCTCCAGGAGGTCGTCTCCCTCGCCTCCGATGGCGACTACGAGGCCACGCCGACGGCCGGAGGGGTGCTTAGTGTGGACGCCTCCCGCTCCTGCGAGGACTCGCTGCTTCAACTCATCCGAGAGGTATTCAGCGCGCACGATACGCGACCATGCGCACTCTTGTGGCTCTGATTTCTGACCTTCCTTGTTTCATCAAGTATTGGTTGATTTGATTACTGGAGGTTGGTTGCGATTTGTTCATCGGTTCATGTAGTAGACAAGCGATCCCCATTCCCTGTTGGTCGGTACATTGCTGGAGATAGTTATTGGTAGCTTGTTTATGGTGTCGGATGCGATTGTGCTGGTGTGGGGTTAGTCATTTCCAGCTTTGGTTATGTCTTTTTTTTTTTCAGATAAACAAGGTTGACATTAATAAATACCTGGGATTTTGTGTTAATTTCCTTCTTGATTCAAGAATCAAGAGATATACTACAATCGGAACTTGAATAAGTCATACAAACACATGCGTCATGATTGGGTTGGTAGATTGTCTTGCTTCAATTTCGTAATGGCAAGAGTACATATCCTTTCTGATTACACCTATACAATGCTTCTTGTTGTGTAAGCAGTAAATATCAATGGACATAGTTGGAATTATGGAAAAGATATTTTCTGAATTTACTTCTCAATAGTGCATCGATGATTTATATGTCACATTTTCCAGCAAGTACAGTTTATAATGGGCTTTAGTACGTTTTTTTTTTGTACAAAAATACGTGATCCTTCAATTTGACGTATTCCACTTCAATATTTGTTGGGCCCTCTAACCAATCACTTAATCCCTGATCCAATGTTTCAGATCAATACTAGATCTTGTTATTAATTTTTTTGTTTGCGTATTCTGTTGATATGAAACATGATGTTTTTCTTGTAACATTTCCATCTGTTGTGTTCCCTATGGATAAATTCTGCTTAAAAGGCACCTTGTGCCCTCTACCCATTGTGTTGATTACTGATCCAGTGTTCTAATTGTACAATATTGCTAGCCTAGACCCTGCTATACAATGAGCTCATGCATTCCAGTGATATGAAACATTGACATTCCTCTTTTAACTTCCAATCTTCTGTGTTCCCACCTATATTTGCCTATATCTAGAGTCTAATAAAATACCTCTAGGTTAATTCCCATCAGACTGTAAGTCTTTAAGGGTTGAGATACTATAAGACTATATCCCTATGAAGAATTTATGCTTAATCTCCAGGCTCTAACCAATGAGTTGTTTCACTGCTACATGTTCTAATTGCGCAACGTTGCTAGGCAAGATCAGTTATTTTCTGAGCTCATGCATTCTGGTGATATGAACATAATATTTCCTCTACCTTCACTCTAGTTATTGTTGCAAGTTATATATGCTTATTATTATGTCTCAAAAGATAATTGTTGCATCACCTTGCATATGGACTCCATAAATGCTAATATTTGTACAGGGACAAGGGAATGCCATCGTGCCATGTTAAATGTTATTTCTCACATGATTATGTGTGGCACTATGGTGCATCACCTTTTGAGATGATCTCCATGAATGCGTTAATTTGTGTAGTGAAGAGGCGATGCTGTGTTAAATATGTTTATTCATTCAGTTTTGAAGCTAGTGTGCTGCAATGTGCATATTATAAAGTCCTTCCTGATGTCCAGCTAATTTCAATGTTTACATAATGTAAAATTTTCAGATTGGTAGCTCAGGAAGCTTGGAGAAGGTTATGCTTCTGCCCTTTAGTCAAGATGTCCAGAAGTTTATATGTATAAAGAGACCTACATTACCTGAAACTTCTTTTGAACTGGTATGTTAAAATGCGACATTTCAGAACTGAAAAAAAGGACTTCTTTTGACATATTGTTGTGCTGCTTGTTTGTGTTCAGCTCAGAGAAGTTTACCCAGAGATCACACCTGTGGTCCTACCATCGCCAGTGGAGCAGAATGGCAATGATCAACATGACAATGTCAGCCATGATCTTGAAAATACAGAGAAGACTGGGTTCAATACAGATGGCGCTCAGCTTCAGCAAGATGATCTGGCAAATTTAGTCAACGAAAGTAACACAGGAAATCTTCAGAAGGATGCAATGGCAACTCCTGATTTTCACCAACCATGTACATCAGAAAATAGGTGTTTTGATCAGCCACAAGAAGATTCAATTAATGCAGTTGGTGTCAACATCAGGTCTCCAAAAGACAGTCCAACTAATGTAGATAGACACATACAAGTTGCAGCTGAGCCTTCTTTAGCTACTTCTGCAGATTTGCTGGGAAGTAATACAGGAACAATTTCTGAGCAGGACATGATAGATGATACAACCATGGTTCAATCGCAATCTCAAGGGGTCAAAAATCCTAATACACTTCATTATAATAATGGAGATGAACCACTTGTTGCCAGCATTCAGTCACCAAAGGATTCCATCCATGAAGGACTGACCATACAGGCAACTGTTTCTCCAGCTTTTGACAGAAGCAATGATGCTTTACCAGCAAGTACATCTGAAATAAGCCAGTTGCCTGAGTTTATTACTGCAAGGGATACAGTAATGAATTCAGAGCCACGTATCAACAAATCTCATCCAAATTCCCCGAAACATGACACTGTTGATAAAGCAAATCAAGATGTGGATTATGGCAGTGTTGGTATTCAGAAAGCTGCTGCTTTCCTATCTGAAGATCGCAATGGGGCTACTCAAGGAGAGAAATCTGAAATTAAAGATCCACCAGAAAATACTGCAGAACATACAAAAATGTTTGAACAAGAAAATAGTGTCGAGGCTCAGTTGGAAGTCGGTTGTTCCGACAAAGTTAATCAAGATATACAGGATGATGGCAACATCATGACAAAGAATATGGTCTGTGATGGGCTGAATGTGCAGACTGCTCCGGAACCTCATAGCTGCAGAATGGCCTTGCATAACAAAAATTTGGTGGCCAACCATTTGTCCGAGCAGAATATTGGAAGGAACACAACTGCTGTTGAGAAAGATTGCTGCAGTATTCCAACCTCTCCTCAGGTTGTTAATGACACAAGAGTGAAGCAACCTTCAAACAAGAGAACCATGGGGAATACTGTGGTAGAAACATCGCATGTGCATTCTTCAGATGATAGTCTCAGTGGCTTCGCAGCCACCGGTCTTCTGTCAATGGCTGACAAAATACCATTCTGTACTCAGGATCAAGATGCCAACGGTCCTGTTGAGGGCTTGTCAGAACAAGATTTGTGCATAAAGTGTGGTAAAGATGGCCAGTTGTTGAAATGCAGCAGCTGCTTGTTAGCGGCTCATGATACATGTTTTGGTTCATTAGCGACATTGGATGATTCTGGCCAGTTGTATTGTCCTGTATGCTTCTATACTAAAGCAACTGAAGCATATCAAAAGGCAAAGAAAACGTATTCTGAAGCAAGGAAAAACCTATCAGCTTTCCTTGGTAGAAAGCAATTAGCTGAGCAACATCAGCAAGCTGCAGTGGGGCAAAGAGCTGCCAACAACGAGGATCATTTGAATGGGTGTAACGATGCATCTAAAAGGAAAGATAATCATCAATCTGAAGGAAATAACCTTTCTCATAGGGATGAAGACCCTACCCGGAAGAGGAAGAAGCAGAAGACAAATGCTACTAGTGATGCTTGCGCTCAGGAAGTAGTCACTGAAAAGGTACCAGTTGTTCAGAATTCTGATGTTGCACCCATGAATAAGCATTCTGTACTCCAGAATAACAGAAAACAAGCTCAGGTTGCAGAGCACGAGCAGCCAGAGGAAAATGAAGAAGCTAGTGGAGAATCTGGTAATGACAATTCATTGCACAAAACAACACATTCATCTCAGACCAAATGCAGTCCTGCTGTAAATCAGAATGTTGACGCTGACAAAGAAAATGGCCTTGCAAGTTCTCAACAGTCAGAAGATTCTGATGAAATTGAAGCTACATCTTCTAATGACTCTACCAAGAAATCATCGCCTCCTTGGCGCAAGTTGAGACACCGCAAAGCAATATATCAGGATAAGGATACAGCAATGCCAAGTAATTCTAAGAAAGTACTTGGGAACCGTGATCAACATATGGCTTCACCATCAAGGAAAAGGAACTATGCATGTCCACCCAAGCGTTAGTAAGTGTTATTAATAACTAATAAGCTTCATAAGCACTTCTTTCTCCTGTTGTACTCCCATTTACTGCAGTCTGCACATAGCCAAAAGCATAGTAAACATAATTTATATGGGCACAAAAATGTTTGAGTTGTGGTTAATTTTGAACCAAATGACATTGAACACTCTGTCTGATTTATACATATGACAAATAAAACTGCACTATGAGAGAGTTGGTGGGATAGAACATTAAGTTTTAGTGCTCTCGCAAGTTACAACACAGTTTCCATGAATATTCATAGTTCATTGTCTTAGACTGATAGACAACATCATGCATCAGCCCATATGGTTTAAAAGGCCATTAGCTTTATCATGTAATAATACTGTATGATGGAAAGCAAATTTGTAGGAATCATTAATACCTAGAATTCATAGGAGTGTGAGCTCATGAAGTTATATTTACGATAGTGAAATCAGGCTGTACTTACATATGGTCCTGACATAGGTAATGCACGGTATTCTCTGTTGCGTGAAAATGCAAGTATTTACAACAAAAATGGAACCATCAACGGGAATTTCGACTCATTTTCCTTATAGGACTTCGGTGTTTGCTAGAATGGATACCTATTCAGATGCTTCATTTGTTGTGATTTTTTTTTTCACTGGAACTCTAAGAGTGTCGTACATGGTAGTACCAAGAATTTAAGCATGTCTTTTCTTGCAGCTCTAACCCTATTGTACCGGCTGGAAGGCGCACAAAGCTCTGTTGGACAGAAAAGGAGGAGATAACGTTGAGGGTGAGTGCACCTGATCTGAAAAAGTTGTTACCGGCACTGATGAATCTTGCACCATCTTCTGTTGCCTAGCTAGTAATGTGCATGGATGCACCTCTTGTATACTTACACTTCTCTCGTGTTCTATTCAGGAAGCAATGGCAAAATTTACCCCAAGGGACAATGGCCCAATTCCATGGGTCCAGATACTGGAGCACGGTAGGGACGTGTTCCACAGGACACGCCTCCCATCCGACCTGAGGGTCAAATGGAGGAACATGAAGAAGAAATCAGGCTCATGACAGTCTTAACAACCTACTAGTGCAGGCTGTGCAGCTTTTGTTCTGTGTATTCTAACCACTTACTCTTAGAGCCCATTGTGTGTGTCATCACCATCTTGTAAGGTTGTAAATTCTCGTTTTCGAGAAAAAAAAAGTAAGGTTGTAAATTCTCCTTGATGTGTAGAACACTTCAATTTTATCGTTCTTTCTTGGTATGTAGAACAGTTCAGTGAACTTAGTTTGATGTCCCGAGTTCAACACATCTATTTTCTGCAGATGGCTCCCTTCTGTTAAATGTTAATGAAGGCGAATAGGTGCAATGCAGAAGTGAAGATGGAAATTTTTGTGTTCATATGGACAAAATGTTCAGGACAAATGATCAATAGGGAGAACAGCAATGTTCAGACAGTTAAGAGAGAGAGAGGGGTGGGGGGAGGGATGTTTGATGTTTAACTACAATCACAAATTTACAAAGGCTCAATGATGGACAGGGTCCAAAACGAGACGGCGATCTAGGCCTACACAAGGATAAGAGCCAGCACCAAATATATGTTATTTATTTGATCGAAGCAAATATCAGACTATTACATAATATATTAGAGAATTTCACGGACTAATTTGTAAAATTAGTGGTTGTGATACTGTGCTTTTTGTTAAACAACTGTATCATTCATACATCAGCTATATTTTGTATGGTACAGTCTGAGCTGCTCCTAGTAGGGAGCTAGCATTTTTAAACTCGACCATAGTTATAACTTATCATAAGGAGTTTATAAATTTTAATTTCATACAAAATTCACAGAGTGATCAGTTCAATCAAAAGAATTATGTGAAGCTTGTCACTTGTAACCCTGCTTCCACTACAAAACTATTTTGAGTTCCTAGAGTCAATATCATGTGCGGGAAAACTGTTTATAGTTCCTAGAGTCTGCTCACAATAGTGCACCAGAATCTCCACACTATCAGATAACTCCGCATTCTGTTACGGTTAGTACCCAATGGCTTTAGCTTTCTCCAACAAATTCTCCAAAAGTTGATAGAACCAACTCAGTTGCTGAAGGATGAGCTCTATCGTTAGCTCTGAAGAAATCTTTGATCGTAATACAGCAGCAATCCCTAAGAATCCCAGCATCTTCATGTTTCATCAGTTTTCGTACTCTTGCCACATTCTGTCTTCTTTGTGGAAATGTGCACGTTCAACAGCAGGATGGATATAAGTTTCAATCCCTTTTGGCTTGAACTCAAGCAGCTTGTCAGCAGCATAGAAGGCAAGTACAACAATTCCATGACTCCCGCATCCAGCAGCCAAACTTGACCAGATGACCTTATTTGGCTCTTGGGCAACAAAACAAAAACTAGGACAACAAATGAAAGAAAACTAGTAAAAAATCCGTGGCAGTAAGCAAAATAGTTCATACAAGTCAACAAGAAATTAGTACTAACAAACTGGAGTTTTCAAAGTGAGAGGGGATCATTGAGGTAACAAATTTGTAAATATTTCTTAAATACACCATATTAATAAAGTATGTTGCATGTAAAATATAACCATATACAACTTTTGTTCATCAAAATGTACTAATTTAAAAGTGATTGGTGATCAAACCAAAAATAATACCAATCAACATCGACAAGTATTTGGGAGCAGAGTATAAAGTTTGTTGGGCTTTTGGGAGCAGAGTATAAAGTTTGTTGGGCTTGTGTGTGGAGTTAACAGTGTTTGTATGTGTTTCAGCCCAGTTGGCACATATAAAAAGGATGTATGCTCAGAGGAGAATAGACAAAGGATCTAGAGAGTTCCATATAAATTTCCCAAACACCACATGGTATTAGAATAACAGACCTCTCAAATCATTTTTCCCTAAGGAGATATAGTAGACCATTAACAAACTTATCTTCTTGACTACAAAGTCATACAACAACACAAAGAGAAAATGCCCATAAAAGCACCAGAATCTCCTCTGGTTTCACACAGGAATCCAAACAGACACCGAGATCAAGGGCCTAGATTTCCAGCACAAAGCAAGCCTTCCCTTCTCACACACAACCCCAAACACCCTGTTGAACAGCCCAACTAGCATCCTGGCCTGAGCTATGTTGCAAGCACTCAACTCACAAGCCATAAACCCTTCCAAAACCTCAGAAGCATTGGCCTCAACTCTCACTGACCCATACTTCACCACAAAATCCTGTATCCTTGGCCCCAGCAACTCCATCTCCACAAGTCTCAGGCATGGTTCATAACTACTACCAATGAAGCAACTCGCCATTGACTCGAACACCGTGGTGAAGTGATGCAATGCCTCGAAGAAGAACTCGACAAAGGAGGCACTAGATGGAGATACCCCTCTTCCAATTCTAACTAGGTCCTCTTCTATGGTGACCACTAGCTTAGGCTGTAGCTTCTTGACACAGACAAGCAGTAAACTCTGCAATGTGCTTAGTGACTTGTAATACATACTTGTTGTATCACATGAGACAATCACTGAGCCTTTACAGTCCTCGAAGAAGGCATGCAGTTCATCCTCATTGTGAACACAGATGGAATTGTATTGAAATGGAAGTTCCAAAGAGTCGGCAAACTCCGATAACAGCCGTACAACTGTGTCATGAGTGCTAGCGTGACAGTCAGCATATGTTGTGATAGCTGTTAGTCTGAAGGACTTACCGCCACAGCGAGCAAGGTCCGACATGAGTGATGACCACTGGATGCCCTCGCCGATGTTCAAGTCGACGACATGGACATCCATGTCACCAATGATGGCATCTAGGATGGCCTGATTGGTAGTGAAGTGTGCAAACTTAACAAATGGTGATAGCTCTTGTATGATCTGGTGCACCAACATGTTACCAGATGGAAGTGGCTCTGGCTGATAACACCCAGTGGATGCACTGGACATCCGGGAACGCAGACCTTGGTCAAAGTGGTATGCCAATCGATCGAAAGAACTGGCTGCTCCATTTTCAGGTATCCCAGACAGGAAGTCATCAAGCCTCGAGAATGCTACTGATGCAAGGATTGAATCTCCTGCCTCGACCGCCTCTGCACCAGCAAGGAGGAGGTCGCTTAAACTGTCCTCCTCCAAGAGCTCCTCTTGGATTGCTGCCAAGTTGACACTCTCTTGGCCAAAAATTCTATCATCACAATTAATAGACACATCAACATCAGGAGCATCATGTTGATGCAACTCATTAGAATCTAGCACCATGGTGTCAAGTAAATCAAGGTCCTCTTGTTGATCAGAACAAGGATCAACATGGAGAGCTGCTTGAGAAGACCATATGAAATACCCACTCTCTTCGTGTGCAGGGAAGGAGAGAAGAGGGGAACAAGGATATGACATAGTCTCCATTCAGTTGTTGTCTACCATAACAAGTTGCCTTTGTCTGTGTGCTTCAGCATGGACAATTGGACATATATATACACAATGAGGAGGCAAGGGGAATGGATAAACGTAGAGAAGAAAAGACAGAGTGATGGGTGAGCCTTCAAGGCCAATGCAAGCTAAAATGTCTTGGTCTCAGATCCCATAATAACATGGATCAAGCTGAAGGAAGATATAAAACGACAAGTATACGGCATGCATTGTCATTTTTTGTTGGCCTAGCAGATGAAGCAGAACGACCAGAGAATGCACTGAAGGTATATTCCAAGAGTGCTTCTTTCTGCGTGTCAGCATCTATTCAGTTATTGGACTATATGCATATAAAAAGAATACCATGTGGTGTTGCCCACTTGCCCTGAAGTACCTATAGCTTGTAGTCATACATCAATAAGCCAATGACAATGAAAAAAAATGCAAATATAAACTACATGCTTGGAGGAAAAACATATGTTTGATCTTTAATTTGGTGGACAATAACTCAATTCCTACATATCTTGGTTGTGTATGAAGAGTCCGTTTCAGTCTGATCAGAACAATGTTAAGATTTCAACTTTATTATGACCAGCAAAAGCGCAGTTAGTTTTCATTTGCTAATGTGGTTAATTTTATTAATGCTAAAAAAAACATGACATAGACTTGCTTCCAAGCTCAATTCAGTCATAAAGCGCTGTTATAAGGTGGTACTATATTACTGTCAGATTCCTAATGTAGTCAATGGACTAATGGAGTTGTGCTAGTTCTGCCAAAACATTAATAATTTATTAGATGATAGAGTGGAGTTGAAAGAGGACAATACAGATTGTTTCAAGTAGTGAAGTTGTTGCAAAGCAAACACAGAAAACATGTGTGGGTCAAGCATATTTCTTGGTTTTAAGCTACCTATTGCTGCTATCTGAACATTTTTTAGAGTTGGTTCCAGAAGATGGCAATGTCCGGTACTTCATATACAAATGGCTGGAGCAGCAGTAGAGATGGGGCACAATGAGGTACTGCTTGGAACTATGTTCCAGTGAGAAAAAAAATTACTAAGAATTGCTCTAATTGAAGGCATCTGGTAGTTAAGGAGAGAATCTCGCAGTGACAGTACAAGACAAACGCAATAGAACAAATGAACAACTGTTGTTTTCTGTTCTGTAGAAAAAATAGCTTGGTGTGTCTCACTGTCTCGTAATCCCCAACTAGTCTTTTAAGTCACTTAAAAGTATTATATCCTGGTCTATCAATATAGAGTTTCTAAAGTATTAGAAGATACATGGCATGCTACAAAACGTGAATCACAAAATGAACTACGAAGGAGCACATGGAAAGTTTATAATACTAGGTAGAAGATACAGGTGTCAGAAATTAGACAGATCGGCTAGAATAATGCAATTTTCATATGTATTATATTATGCCTTAACTAGAGAAAATAAGTGTAGTTCTACAACAAAAGGTTATCCTCTTTCAGAAAGTGTTCAGTATTTCTAGGCGAGAAGCCGTTTATTTGTAAGTTGTTCTGCTACTTCAATAACTAGATTGTCAAGTTACTAGTTACAATTACATAAGCCTTGGTTTGTCTACACATTATTCTAGGGAGCATGAGATTACAGGATGACCCTGTGAATGACAGTGTAACAGTAGTAAAAGTAAATGAAATATTATTTTTTCGGAATATGCAAAGTACGTATCTTTGTATTAAGATTGAGGGTAAGGCCTTACACAAGAGCATCTCAATTATGTACAAAAAGGATCAAAAGAAAAAAATAAAAAAATAATAAAAAGGGGTGCTAAAGGCAATGTCTATCAAGTGAAGGAAATAATAAGATAATAGTTTGAAGTTCAAGCAAGAGTGAAGATTATAGCACCAGGGCAAAGAAAAGGAGAAAGTTTCAGCATTATGCCCTATCCACTCGACAAGCCAATCTATCTTCTAGGTAAATGGTGATTTGAGGCTTGTCTAGATTAAAGAGAAATTCACTGTCAACTCTGCTGAACACTTGTTAGCAGTTTCACATCCTACTACTTAGAGCATCAAAAACTTCTGATCAATTAAACCGAAACACATCACAATCCAAGGATGGCAAGGCATGGTCAACTGATTTGTCTATTAAGATCTCCAAAAAAAAAAAAATTCTTGTTTCAGAATTCAGTAGACTGGATATAACTGAAAGACGGGACTAGAAAGGCGGCAGAAAATAATAGTCTAACAAATGCAAGAGTACATTGAACTTTCAAAAGGTACCGAAGAACATCTCAATCACTTGCAAAGCCTAGGTACCTAACTACTGAAAACAAAAGGACTGGTGACCTAAGGTCCAAGTCATACTCCAAAGTCCAAATTTCCAGATAAAATATTTGCCCATTTCAGCTAATGCTGTGGGGGAGTTAGGGAAGCTGAATCATGCCATCATGTAGGCCCCATTCTAGAGAAAGCTTACCTGGTAGTGCTGAAGATTTTTTTTGCCATTTGCATCCAGTAAACATAAAAGCAGCTGTGGTGTTGGATACTTGGATCGATACTGCAGTCCACCGAAGACGAATAAACGTTTGGTTTGATAAGTGTAGTGTTGAAATTGAATTGCGGGACCCATATTGAAAAAAAATCCCCCAATCACTACGTTTTGCCTTGCCTGTATGTGCCAACTGCTACAGGCAACAAACAATTCCTTACTCGGTTGGTTCGACCACAGTTTAGACTTCGATTTTTCCTCTGACATGCATGCACCGACTTTCACAGTGTAGTATGGTTCATTTTTATGCACTGAAATCGATTTAAGCCTTACACTGGAGTTGCTCTAACCTCTTTGCTTGAAATTACATGTTTGCTTATGTTCCTATTATACCTCTTCCATTCTTCCCTGGATCAATCAAACAAAATAAAATAAACTATGTATGTGAAACATGATCCACTTAAAAACCCCATGATTTGAGATATGCTCATTGGCATGGTTTTCCTGAATTAATCGCATCGAAACAAGGAAAATTGAGAGGACCCAACAAGAGATAGGTTAGGTTCTTGGATGCAATTTTCCCCCTTAAAAACTTCTGTGGCGAGATTATGCTCAATCCCTTGGGATTGATTGGGAAATAAACTAAACAAAAAATCCCACATCCGAAGAGACTGCTTACCCAACCAATCACACCTAAGTCCTAGCCAACTATCCCGGACAGAAATGCGTGTACACCGATAAAACAAACAATTGTACCAACGTGGGCGAGCAACTGACTTGCTTTCCACCTCTCATGTGCGGGCCGCAGGGAGAAGTTTAGGGTTAATTAGGTTGGTTGGCTTTACCTGAATCGACGGAGGCGCGCGGCGGCGGCGGCATTCCTCGGCCCGTGCGCTGCTCCGGCTGGGTGCGCGCCGGAGGCGGAGATGGTGGCGACCCGACCCGAGCCCCAGCTCCGGCCTGCTTGGGGGAGATGGAGATGGAGGGAGAGAAATGCACGGTGCTTTTTGTCACTGACACGTGGGGCTCAGAGATTATCGGGCCCATATATAAAAACAAAGTCACACGTCTCAAGGATTATCGGGCTCATATGTAAATGATAAAATCACGTGACTTTAACTAAAGAAGACCATGATCAGGAGAGAAATGGTTCTATCATGCAATTTAGACACTATCGCATGTTTTCTCACATATGTATTGCACACATCAACTTAAAATATCATTAAAATTATACATTTTTATTAATCTACATCTATTTATAAAGTCTCGTCTTCAAATTCATTACATTGGGAAAAAAACCAAAACTTTAACATATTTATCCTCTCAAAATTGTTAGAATTTTTATCTTTTTTTACGATGAAAATATAAATGAATTTATGGTTAAAACTTTAAACATAAGTGTACATTTTTTTCTAGATATTTTGATAAAATCTATTAGTCGGTGCGCACGGTGTGTATACGAGAAAGTTTGTATGCATAGGATATGTTGCTAATCATCAAACATCTAACGATCCCTGATATTTTTAAAACGAAATATTTGCTCCACGCTTTGGAAAATAAGATTTTAAAAATAATAATAACTAGCATGGTGACCCGCGCAGATTGCGCTGCTAGTATTATTATATTTTCTCTCATATAATAGCATATATGTTTTCTTATTATAATATTCAAATATATTAAAATGACAACATAATTTTAAATTTTATAATAACTTTACAAAACTACTAATGTGTAATATTCATATTATATTTTATATACATGTTAGTTATTAATTATTTTTAATATCAAATTTTAGTTATTTGTAAATTATATATATTCCTATATGGACTATATGGACTTTAGACTCGTCTTTTAATATTTCTTTTTTTTTAATTCCGAATTTTCTGTAAATTATATTTCTATATATACTCTATACTCTTCTTCCAATATTATTTATTTTTATTTCTGAATTTTCATATTATATTTTATATAAGTGTCAGTTATTAATTATTTTTAATATCAAATTTTAGTTATTTGTAAATTATATATATTCCTATATGGACTCTAGACTCATCTTTTAATATTTATTTTTTTAATTCCGAATTTTATGTAAATTGTATTTCTATATAGACTCTATGCTCTTCTTCCAATATTATTTATTTTTATTTCTGAATTTTTATTATTTCTAATTGTATTTCTATGTGGACTCTAAACTCATCTTTCAATATTCTTTAATTTTTAATTTCGAATTTCAGTTACTTCTAAATTGTATTCCTATATTGACCTTAAACTCTTCTTCTCATGTTTTTCTTAATTTCGAATTTTAGTTATTTATAAATTATATTTTTATACGGACTCTAAACTCTACTTTTAATTTTATTGTGTTTATTCCAAAATTTAGTTAGTTTTAAATTCCTAGATGGACTCTATACTCTATTTCTAATATTCCTTATTTTTTAATTCCGAATTTCTTTTTTTTTCTTAATTGTATTTCTATATGGACTCTATACTCTACTTCTAATATTCCTTATTTTTAATTCCGAACTTCAGTTATTTCCTAATTGTATTTCTATATGGACTCTGTACTCTACTTCTAATATTCCTTATTTTTAATTCCGAATTTCAGTTATTTACTAATTGTATTTCTATATTCTATATGGACTCTATACTCTACTTCTAATATTCCTTATTTTTTAATTCCGAATTTCAGCTATTTCCTAATTGTATTTCTATATGGACTCTAGTCTCCTCTTCTAATATTCCTTATTTTTTAATTTCGAATTTCAGCTATTTCCTAATTGTATTTGTATATGGACTCTAGTCTCCTCTTTTAATATTCCTTATTTTTTAATTCCGAATTTCAGCTATTTCTAAATTGTATTTCTATATGGACTCTGCCTTTTCTTTTTTCTCCGATTAATGTGAGAATTTTTAAGCCATGAGAGCGAACGTGGAGGCTCCTTTTTCTATTCCTTTAATAATATATAATAGATACAACAATCATTAGAAGCCGAGCAATAAATTAAAACATCGGGATCACTATACAATGCAATTGAATATGTTGATAAAAATTGTTCGTTTGTTTTGAGCCGCAACACCATTCCTTCTTTCCTTTCAACCCTAGTCCAGTTCGATACCTCTCTTTGCTCGGGCTGTCTCTCTTTGCCCCCTACCTCCCTTCGTTCGGGCTGTCTCTCTTCGCCCCAGCCTGCAAATAGGCCCAGCTCTCGGGCTGAGCTAAACCTCCGGAAGAAATATTGCATGATGCAGCTCATCCTCCTCATTAGTTGAGGGCTATTGATCTACTCGATTTCCTCTTTTCGTTTTTCTCAAAATAAAAGAGAATTTGCAAAACTCAAGATTAAGGGCAGCTCATCCTCCTCATTAGTTGAGGGCTGTTAGATCTACTCGATTTTCTCTTTCTGTTTTTCTCAAAATAAGAAAGAATTCGCAAAACTCAATATTAAGGTTTGGGATTCTTGTAGGTTAGCCAGAGCTCGTTTTTCTTGATATAAAAGAGAATTTGCAAAACTCAAGATCGAGGTCTGGGATTATTGTAGGTCGGCCAGAGCTGATCGTTCTCATTATATCTCGATCTCTCAAAATTGTTTGAGGATTGTTGATCTACTCGATCTCTTCTTTCTTCTTTATGTTGAAACTCGATATTAAGGCTGGGATGCTTGTCCGCGGCCATAATCAATGGAGATTAAACCCAACGAAATTAAGGGAAGACAATGAGGTGGGAGTAGGAAATTGATTTTGCAATTAATTGAACGAGGGAAGCGTAAAGAGATCCGACCACACTCATCCGTGAGATCCGTCCACACTCATGAAGATAATCCAAAATTGATTGAGGGGTTTTGATTTTTGTCGCCTCCTCTTTCTGTTTTACAAGAATTAGAGCAAAATTGTATTGTATCGACCCAGAATCGAGGAATCGGATGGGAAATTTAGGCTCCACGGATGTAATATGGAATCGAGCCCTATACCGTGGATGGGAATCGGGGATGAAATATTTTTTGACTCGTGCACTCGAGGCAGAATCGGAAAGAAATCGTGAGGGATATGGATTCGTGGGCGCTACGGATTAAATATTTTTGATGCGGAATTGGAAAAAAAAAACTTGTGCACAAAAAAGTTGGCAGCGATCTGATCTGGATTCGTATTATACGGAGTGGAATCAGGAATCGGAAAAAAAATTAGCGCCTGCTTCATGAGACAACGTACGAAATTTTTTTGGCAAAAACATCTTAAATTTTTATAATAGGTAAAGATAAAGATAATAGATAATCTTCTACTAGCTTAAACCGCTTCATCTAAACTGGAATTAGGCATGCTTGGCAGGATAACATCATGTAGATTCCAACTACAAAGCCCCTGTAAACTGAAACCGAATGGCCCTGTAAACCAAAACACTGGAGAAAATACAGAGAAAACATACTGTCGCCAAATGAGTGAGATAGGCCAACAAGAACATTCTATGCCCAACCTTTGCAGATCATATGTCCCCAGGACCAGGCCAAACTCTTCCAATGGCCGTTTGGAGCACGTCCAACTTCTTTTTTTCTATGGTTCCAGCCTTAACAAGAGAACCTCCTGATCTTTTCTTCTCATTTTCGTCGGCAGCATTGGACCACATTTAGAATTTTCCAGATCCAACAAGGTTCTCTGATATGAGAGACCACATGACATGACTGAGACACTGTTTTTTTAAAAATATGTGGACATCAATGGCAGCTGGGGACAAAACAACAAGAGTTTCAATCAGAACCCATTCCATTCACTATAACAACATCTTTACAAAACAACCGTCGCAAACATGTTAAACACAGTTCTTTCAACCTTCAGACTAAGGCATTAACAGATGATTGAACAGGAGGATGAATTGCATTTTCAGTAATGGTACAAAGATCAGCTAGCTACCCTACGAATGATTCATATATGCATATGGTATACATCAGCTATCTTTACAGTACATGAGTTGCAGTTAGCGTGCAACTTGAGGTGTGCTTGAGTCCTGCTCACATGAAATCCATGGAGTCATTTAGGGTCTGGCCGCTCATCGATTGGCCTCCGTTCAAAGAGTTATGGGGATTATTTGGGTGGTGATGACGTCCCTGGTGGCCACTTAAGTAGTGCATCTGCTGCTGCTGCGAGAAATAGGTCGGCATCTGCTGCTGCTGCTGCTGCTGGAGTCCTCCATTGAAGGAGTTTCCGTTCATGTTTGGAACTTGGCCTGCCGCTATCTTAAGCCGCTGAACTTCTTCTCGTAGGGCGTCATTCAGAGCTGCATTAAACAGAGAAGGCTTTCTCAACAGGTTGCTTTGCTTATCTGGATAAATATATTTGGATTCTTTGATTTCAATTGCCTTGTAATGGCCCTAAACAAGATAATATTATATCTGGGCCTTAATGACAAAGAAAGAAGAGCTTGATAACATTATTTGTGGGCCTTAATAACAAAGACGGAAGAGCTTCTGAAAGAATAGGACATACCATCTCGAAGTTTAGCTTGTTCTTCCATGGACTGCAACCGGAGTTTGAGCTCTCTGTTCTCAGCAGTTAGGCCAGACGTGTCCCTCTGACCATAAGTAAATTCCAAGATGAAAAAGGGTATAAAATTAGGAATGTGTGAGCAAAAGATAATTAGAAAATCAAAAAACCATAAGATAGAACATTCAAACGCTGAAAACATTAACATTAGCGGATGAGACTGATGCACAATCAGAAACATGATCTTTATTGTTAGCAGCAGAGTAAAATTTAAAGTGATTTTAGTTAGAAATAACATTAACAAGGAGTAAAAACACTAATTTCCCCCCAAAAAAAAATCACTAGTCCTGACTTCTTGATTCCCTATATAAAAAACTTAGTGAAGCTTTGTGGAGCAAGATAAACATCAGCTGTTATCCCTGACCACCAAACCAAAGTTTCAACCCCCCACCTAATTTCATCATCTTTAATCAAACCAGCTTTCAAATATAGCATCAATAACCCTGTTTCTGACATGACCAACCTATAAAGTATATAGGCATCAGCATTATGACCCTACTTTTGGGTGCAATAAATCCTTCAGTTGTCACATCGGCTACAAGAACACTTGCAGACAAAAGAAAATTAAGAAAAAATGCATAATGTGTTCAGGCTCAACTATGTTTTCCTGAAACAAACTTGTAATATTTGCGGAGTAAAAGACTACAAAACTTATGGTTACTCATTATAATTTGTTAGCTCTCGAATGATAAATTCACAAGACAGCTATTCCATATTTACAAATCATATAAAGCCGGTAGATCAGCTTATTCTCCCTGTAAGCAGGACTACCATAGGCTCTCTCCAAAATCAAAAATCTCTGGTTCAAAAAGTGTGAACTGATAGGATGTGCTTAACTGTTCAAGGGCTAGATGACCTAGATAAGATATTATGGAATTTTTGGGATAAGCCGTTACAAAAGCTAGCATATCAATAAATTCAATTCTCACTGACATTCTCTGAAATACAAATGTATGCAGTGGCAGTTTGCAAGAAAAAAAATCCTTCTGATCCCATTACATATCCAATTTAGTATACAGAATATGCAGGGAGAGAACTATATCTGTTCATGGTATTTTTAGTACACTATGAAAAAGTAATAATTTGGTCTTGTCAAAGCGAACATCTAAGCAGCCTAACATTTTTCATGTAAATAGTCAAGTACCAGTGAAAATTATAAATTCAAAATAGCAAGAAAATTCCTAAACCTGCTTGTCCTGGAAAGTGCAATTTGCAAGTACAGAACTATAGCGGTACTCACAGTTGAGAATAAATACAACCAAACAGAGACTAACACTTTTTATGATCATAGCATCCCAGTACGCCTGAACAATCGTACCAGAACTCCAGAAGAGCTAGCAACTTTGAACTCGAAGGAACTAGAGGTGGTTCTGTGCAGGAGCTCGTTGTTAAAAAGGAAAATTAAAGAAAGAAAAACTCAGAAGCCAATGTACAACAGCTGTAACAATCAAGTAAAAACAATCAATGTTGAAGCAATCAAAGAATACAGTAATTTTTTTGTGATCGTCCATCCCAAAAACTGCTAGTGGACAGTAAATTGGTTGCACTGGACAGTGTCAAGTAGAAATTGATGTTAGTCAAATGATGTGTAAGCTGAAACAATACTGCATCAATGTATCTAAAGGGAAATCCGGTTATTCCAGCTGCTAATATCAGGTCTGATACAAGAGAATAAGAAAAGCATAGCCAAACAAAAAATCAACTGATCAGATAGAGCACTAGCCTCACTTTTATGGTAGTAGTTGCAGAGGCACCACAAGCTTGAGCTATAATGCATACCTGGAGCAGCGTGAGCTGTGTTGAAAGCGTGGTTGCCTCTGTCTGCAGCGTCTGCACCTTCCTCTCCAGCTCACCGGTGTACTTGATCTTCCTCTCCTTCGACCTCGCCGCCGATTGCCTGTTCGCCAGAATCCTACACAAAAGAGAGTACCCACCATCAAATTGAGAACGCAACAAGGAGCCCGATTTCAGGAAAAAAAGAAGAAGAAGAAGCACAATAGGCCAGCAACTTCAACTAAATGATTTCATGTTTAATTATCAAATTGAAATAGTATAGGGAAATAGCTAAAGAAAAGTTGTTGAAAAACTTCTTTTCTAATTTTTTTTTTAAAAAATCCAGCTCCATTTCTACTGAAACCGTAGTGTGAAAAAAAAAATTCTGACCTCTTCGCGCGCTTGGGGTCGAGGAGCGCGAGCTCGGCGAGCCTATCGGCGGGCATGGCCTTCTTGGCGTAGTCGGGCGGCGCGGACTCGCCCTCGAACAGCGAGCTCTCCCCATCCATCGACCCGCTCCTCTTATGCCCAGCCCCACCGCCGCTACTCCCACTCCCAGCACCACCACCCCCTCCTCCTCCCTGGAACGCGAGGCCATCGAAGAACGCGGCGTCGAGGGAGAGGCTCCTCAGGTGTGCACCCCCAGGCGGCCGCGGCGCCGCCTGCGGCAGCGCCGGCGGGGGAGGAGGCGGGGTCGGGTCGGACGCCGCGGGGGAGTCGTCGGAGAGGGAAGGGAAGTCGAGGTCGGAGAATCCGAACTCGCCGTCCGGGTCGAGCAGCAGGTCGGCATCGGGCAGCCGGATGAACGTCTCCGAGTGCGCCCGCCGGTGGTGCCCCCTCGGCGGCGCTCCCCCGGACGGCGCCGGCGGCGGGAATCGCGGGTCCATGATGGCTGCGGCGGCGGCGGTCAACGCCGGCGAGAGGCGGCTGCTGCTGCGGCGGCTGCGGCGGCGAAGTGGCTGGGGTTTGGGAGGTCGCTGCTCGGAGAAGAGGAAGATCGGGTAGGTAATGGGTCTCGACTAGAGGAAGCGGAGGCCCCCACTCCTGCGTGGACCCGGTGCATAGACCCCAAACCGACTTACACGAATCTCGAGGCGGAATGGACCGTATAAGTGAGTTCCGGTCTATGAGGAGGGTCCACGGAAGAACGGAATATCCGCGCCGTGGAAATGGTTGTTGCATCCGTCCCCGCATGGGTAAACTTGGTCCATATACACCTGTAGCTGTAGTTCGGGTGCACGAATCACGAGGCGTTACGGACGATGGGATGTTGCGCCGGTGCATGAGTTGGGGTGTAGGGGGAGGTGGAGGGCGAGGGGTGAAACGGTAAATTCGGAGAAAATGCCGCGTGGTTGCGAGAAAGCGAGCAGGCTGTCGCTGTCGCTGACCTGTGGCCGCGGGACCGGGCGCAACTGTTTGGCGGTGGCCGCCTCGTGTGGATGACAGGTGGGGCCGGGGATCGGCGGGGCCCGGGTAGCTGTGAGACACGTGGTGGTCGTGAGGTCCGAGCCGCGTGTTGCTCATCTTGCTGGCTTGCCAGTTGCTGCGGCCTGCGGGAGCGGGTGGGCCCCACGGGTAAGCCGCTGGGTGGACACCGGAGCTGAGGCTTGCACAAGCCACAAGATACTTGTCTGATGACAAACCTCATCTTAACATTATTTTATTATTTCCTGTATTTTTAAACTTAACATACGTTTTTCTAGTATAATAAATCTGGACTTACTATTCTTATATATATTCATTGTCCTTAAAAACATCTCATCTAGATTGGTTTTTTTGATGGAGGGAGTAGTAAAAAATAGATGTGACTGGATAAAGAAAGATTATGATTTACTTCCTCCGTCTCATTTTAAGCGTACCGATGAGTTTTTTTTTCCAACTTTAATCGTCCGTCTTATTTGAATTTTTATATGACTAGTATTTTTATTGTTATTAGATGATAAAACATGAATTTAGTTTTTTAAAAAAACAAATAAAATGGATAATTAAAATCGGACACGAAAATGCACGGTTACACTTAAAATGGGACGGAGGAAATACTAAGAAGAGAAAATAGGTGGAGGAGAATGGTTGTGATTGGCTGAGAGGATAGGGTAGGTAAATATATAGTTTTATTTTTGGATAAGTAGTGTGTTGAGAATAGCTATGTTTTAAGACGGGGTAGTACTGCTTAGCTTGGTAAGAGTATTTTGATAGTAGTAAACTAGTAATCTGTTATGTTAAGCAGGGGACACGATCTTTTGATTCGAATATTTTCATACTAGCTTGATAGAGTATTAATTTTAATACACAGAGTTCGTTGGGTAGATGCTTTGTGCTGTTGACTTGGTTACAATGTTGCGACGATATTTCCATTATATGATTTTTATATGAGCTTGTGAATGTGACAGATATTGACAACAAAAATATACTAGTAGTATACTAGTATCCCATTGGACACATTCTTATTGTAACCAATTGTTTTCAACTGAAGATTCATCCACTTCACTAATTAAAAGGGCATTCGATGAATGTGATTAGGTCAGCAAAGCATGAGCCGGTGATCCGAAGTAAGGGATTGATGGATATGTTTAGACAAAATTTTCATGATAATGTCGTGATTTTATTGTATCTCGTAATTCTGTAATTACTTGGAATTATTCATTTGTTCAATTTCATATATAATTAGAGGATAATTGGATCATGCAATTACAAATATGCATATTCAAATAAATATCATTACAATTTGTTTATTTATAGTCGTGACACTGAAATTTTACAAAATTAGGATTGTACCACTATCGCCACGTTTTACATCTTCTTCCTCATCTGCACGTGGGACCCACCCATTAGATTCATCTTCTTCCTCCATCCCCCCTCTTCTTTTTTTCCATCTCTCTCCACCACCTCCCGTCGTCCATCCTCCTCTCTGTCGCTCACTCCTCCTCCCCCGGCACAGCGGCCACCCCCACCATCGCCTCTAGTGCCACACCCGCTGCCTGGTCAGGTTGGGTAAGGATGGCTGGCCCATCGACGTCGTGGTTGGCATCCTCCTCATCGTCGCTCCCGGTCATCGTGTCCCATCTGCCCGGCACTGCGGCCACCCCTGCCGCCGCCTCCAAGCCTAGTTGTCGCGTCGCGCCGAGCCACCTAGCCCACGTCGCACCCACTCTGGTGACAGTGTCGGAGTGGACGAATGGGAAGAAGATAGGAAGAGAGAAGGAAGAAGACGGATAAGGAAGAAAATGGATGGACAACGTGACGATAGTAGCACGGTCCTAATTTTGTAACATTTAAGTGGCACGGATACAAATAAATAAATTATAATTGCGTTTATCTAAATAGACACATTTATAATGATATGGATCCAATTAGTTTACAACATCTCTTCCTCGCTAAGAGTAAAAAAAAGATGCAACATGTCTGGTGAAGAATTGATAGTGACGATGTTGATGCCTACCATTTTAGATGCAATCCCCCTACCAAATAAAATTGAGCAAGAGATGCTACCGATTTTGATATTGGTTCTTTATGAGAAAATTCCTTGACGTCATTTTCTGCATCTCACATCAAGAAGCTCTTTAGTCATCCTGTCACTTTTTTTTTCACTTTCAGAGGCAGAAAAACAATGCAAGTAAACTTTCTCATTGGGCTAGTTTCAAGTGATTAATGTGAACTGCATCTCAGAAACTATAAAATATGATGATCATAATATGACGTGTTGCGCACTTGTGCTCTTATGCTCATGCATGCCGTCATTTTGTAGTAACGAGAGGCAAATTAAATGTAGAAGATAGGGTATGATTTTGGTGTCGATTACTGAAAAGATAGCTAATAATTGAAATTTTTAGGTGAGAGCATATGAGAAGATGGTGATTATCTAAAAGCACTGCAGCCTGCAGGGTAAATAAATCTGATGGTAGATGACATATAGAATGATTGGCCAACAGCAAGATTCTTGGCACAACAGTGAATAACCCACTGATAGTCATATTACTTCTGAGCCAGATCACATCTAACTGTGGCCAATCAGCATCAGTAATAACTTGCAGCTATTGTTGACTCTCTGGTTGTCTGAATACTCCTATGGTAATAGTAAGGGCCTGTTTAATACTGCTCCAACTTCTAAATTTAGCTTCAGGAGTTGGGTCTGGAGTAGAGTTGTGGAGCTGGTTCATTTTATGAGAGAGCTCCACCCAGCTCCACTCCTAATTTTGGTGGAGCTGAAACTGTTTGGCTGAGCTCCAGCTCTAGAAGGGGTGGAGCTGGAGCTGTGCCAAACAGGCCCTAAGTAATATAATTGATTTATTGCGGAGTTCCTATGCTAATATGTAACTATGCAAAATTTACATATACTGTCAAGAAAGCATGCAAATTGTTAACTAAAATCAGTACTAAGATGCAAACAGTTAATTAATTAAGAAGTGTCCAAGATGCAAGGAGATGCATGTTGTTCTCCGAACAAACAACAGAACTGTGTATTACTCATTTGTTAAAGACCATTCCATCCTGTGTTGCTTGTTCTCTGAATTAATTAACAAAAGTGCAGTACTCGTGTAAGTACTAAACCTGCACATTAGCAGATATGTTTAGCTAGATTGCTAACACTTGGCAGCAGACATACAGTTGGAGTCTGAAACTCTGAATCTTCAGTACACATACGTATGCAGATCCATGTCGTATTCTCAGAGTTCTCGTTAAGAAGTCAATCCCGTAGAGACCCAAACGATCGGTTGATCACTTGATCTTTTCTTGCCCAAAGAACAACTTGCTGAGACAATGACGTCTGTGTAGACTGTAGTAGTGTGTCGCTCTAATGTACAAACTGGAGTTCGTTGGTCGAGCAACGGCAGATTAAGGTCTGAATAAACTAGACAAAACTATAACATCCCTCATATATATATATATATATATATATTATATGTATAATAAAAAATTTTAGTGAGGACGCTCATGATCTTATTAATATTGCTAGTAGTGAAGAGTCGAGTCTCCGTCGTCCCAATGCTTGATCCGCCCTAAGTCCAAGAGACTGAACTGTTGATTGATCTCTTGTGACAGTAACACTCCCCCGTGCATGGATTAGTGTGTGTAACGGTGTGTATAATCTTTGAAAGGGACATCAGTGCAAATTAATCGGATCCGGGAGTAAGCATCTGAACTTTTCTCACTTTGCAAGAGAAGAGAACACACCTAGCTAGCTAGGCATACGTATTGCATTTGCAGATTCAGAATATCAAATTGCCATTCAGTGCTAGTTGCTCCTAGTAACAACTAACAAACCGCGGCGAGATGACTTTTGCTCTATCGCTTGGCTAACTTTACATGAGCAGCTTGTGTAATTAGTTGGGCTGTTACTTTATAGTGAAGTTCTACGTATGGAATTATGCCATTACCTCTGTTTTTTAAATATACGGCAGTGTTAACTTTTAGACATTATGTATTTATGTTTGCCGATTTGTTTTGTTATTAAAAACTATGTAAGTGTCAATTATTTTACTTGTTTTTATAATTAAAGACATTTTAAGCCGTACATATTATTTTTGCATACCTACGCTAAACTTTTAAATAAAACGAATGGTGCGGAGAGAGTTTTTTTTTTCTCATGTCCCAGCAAGTATATACCATCGGTCGCTGCCGGCAGCGTGCACCGGCCATCGCAGAAAACGTAATCGGGCCGCCAGTGGGTCTAGGGATTCTAGACTATTCATAAATTGTGACTAACACTTGAGTCATATTCTTGACCAAACACACATATTTTAGACCCTTCAATTCTTGGAGATTTTGTTATCCACATACGCATTTTTGAAGTTAATTTTCCAAAGGCTGACATTTGAACAAAGATGTGAAGCGGGCCTTCTTTGGGCTAAATCCTCTGCCCAATGTGCAATGTGTTTGTGTCGGTTTAGAGGCCCAAATTGAATATATTTCGTCAATCAGCTCAGACCATCACAAAACGGCTAGTGCAAATTTTCAGAAAAAAGCTTAACATAATTTTCCCATGCGTTTATTCTTGCAAAGTTCTTACTACTAATTAGTATTTGTAATTTTTCTTTGTGTAGTTTTGTAGATGTTGGGTATCAAAAGTTAAGTTGATCTGATGATATGTGCGAAAGTAAGTACATTGTTTGCTTGCTTGCTTATTTGACATAGCTCCAGCTCCATGAAAACCTTTTAGCGAAGCTAGTTGAAATGGTTTTACAAAATATACTAGAGAGGTACTACCTCCGTTTCACAATGTAAGACTTTCTAGTATTGTCCACATTCATATAGATGCTAATGAATCTAGACATTTAATCCACATTCATATAGAGCTAATGAATTTAGACATTGTTATATATATAGATTCATTAGCATCTATATGAATGTGGGCAATGCTAGAAAGTCTTACATTGTGAAACGGAGGGAGTAGCCATTAAGACAATAAGCAAACTCAACGGTAAGGTTGCTTTATTCATATCACCTTGCCCTCATGGGGAAAAGTTCAAATATCAATCATCTTGGACAAATGCCGTCCAAATTCAAAATTTATTCGTACTAATTTTTTGTGTTATCTAAATGATTAAATCTTACGAGGCTTAATTTGATACTACTTAATTTCCTTCAGTTGATCACCAAGCATTTTTGCATGAATCACTCGTGCACTTCTTCCTTGGTGATCTTCTTCGTCGCCGGTGGCACATCGCTGCCGTGGAACGGCGGCAGTGGCGGCCACTGGTTGCCGGGGTGCGGCCATGCCGGCATCGGCGGAGGGTGGAACGGGAACGGCGGCAGTGGCGGCCACTGGTTTCCCGGGTGCGGCCATGCCGGCGTCGGCGGCGGGTGGGACGGGAACGGCGGCAGCGGCGGCCACTTGTTGCCTGGTTGCGGCCATGCCGGCGTCGGCGGCGGGTGAGACGGGAACGGCGGCAGCGGCGGCCACTTGTTGCCACCAGGATGCGGCCATGCCGGCGTCGGAGGCGGGTGGAACGGCGGTAGCGGCGGCCATTTGTTCCCCGGGTGCGGCCATTCCGGCGTCGGCGGCTGGTTGAACGGCGGCAGAGGTGGCCACTGGTTGTTTCCAGGACGCGGCCACGCCGGGTTCTCGCCGCCGCCGTGGTGGGGGCTCGCCGCCTCCGGCGCCGGCGGCGCATCAGGGGTGTACGACTCGGGCGGCGGCGCCGGCGGCGAAAGCTCCGGCTGATCCGGTGGAGCGTGGCGGCCGTGGTGCTTGGACTTCGGCGGCGCCTTCTCGTGGTGCTTCTTGGGCGGTGGCGCCCTCTCCTCGTCCTTGTGCTTGCTCTTCTTGACATGGCCGCTGCCGCTCTCCTCCTTCAACGGCGGCGGCGCCTCGCCGACGGCGACGGCGTGCACCGGCGCAACCGCAGTAGGCGGCTCGACCACCGCCGGCTCGATCAATGGCGGCAACGCGCCGAACGACCACACCGGCGCCGGCGCCGCGGCTTGGCCGCCGGTGACCAGGAGCGAGCGCGACGTGGCGTCGACGCGGCATGCCGAGAGCGACGCGATGGCGAGGACCACGACGAGGTACGACATCTTGATGGCAACTTCTACACGAGTAGAAGTTGTTGTTCTTGATGCCATATTGGATTAGTTAATTAGCTTCTTGATGTGTTTCTGCTTAAATGGTTTGCTTGAGCTTTATATAGGACTTGAAACTTGAGTGGTTTTTGGTTGGTGAGGGTGAAAAATTTAGTCAAACTTTGTAGAAACTGCGACTGGGTTTAATTAGTTTGGTAACACCACATTCTTGTAGTGGCTTCTTTTTGTCTGTTGAATTCAGAATTACAGGTGCATGAGGGAGTAGTAGTAATGGGTTGTTGGTGTGTCCATGAATGTGACATGCATTAGTGAGGGTTTAGGCAGGAGTCATTTCTTCATTTGCTCATGGTGGATCTCCTGTATCTCTTTTTTACTGGTATGTGTTGCTTATTAATTAGCCACATTTTTTTTCTGGTCATGAATGGTACTTCCTCCGTTTCACAATGTAAGTTATTCTAGTATTTCCCACATTCACATTCATATGTCTAGATTTATTAACATCAATATGAACGTGGGAAATGCTAGAATGACTTACATTGTAAAACGGAGGAAGTATTAGTTCTCACCATCACAGTTAGTGCGTTGGTATGGCTTCCTCACATGTGGTTGTCTTGCTAGGTATTACTACGTACTATTTCCTCCGTTTCACAATGTAAGCTATTTTAATATTTCTCACATTCATATTTATATCATTAACATCAATATGAATGTGGAAAATGCTGTGAAACGGAGGGAGTAGTATGGAAGAGAATTCCCAACTCCCCAAGAGACCAAACTTGGGCTTTAAGACTTGCATGCACCACATTGTTTCATTTGTTTCTTGTATGCATTAAGAACGAAATAGCTAGTGGTCAACCTTACGGCATGCTATCATCATTTGTCACTATGCTTGGGTAGCAACATAGGGCGGACGATGACGAGGACGAGGGGTCAGCAAGTGACACTAAAGGGGCGATTTTGACAATTTGCTACTCTTTTGATTGCCATTGCCATCTTATAGAGCATCACTATACACATTGATTGCCATTGCCATTGCACCGGTCTCAAGGGAAACACATTATGGCTCCAAAGGAACAAGATTATCTTAATTAGTACCTCTTGTAAAAAACCACACATTATAGATGCTCTTATAACTGTGACACGTGATGACACTTCGAATCAGTAACATGTGGATCAGGTTAGGCAAATCATCAAATCACCAATCTAATGGTTAAACCCTTTTAGCTAAGTTTTAAAATGTATTCCTTTTCTAAGCTCCTGGTCTGAGTGTGGAAGATTCGCGAGAGTGGAAACACACAAGACACGGGCGATGTATACAGGTTCGGGCCGCTGAGAAGCGTAATACCCTACTCCTGTGTTTTGGTGGATCTGTGTATGAAGAAGCTACAAAGTGCGAGCCAGCCCCCGATCGTTCCGGGATCGTTCTCTCCTCCTCTTTTTTTCTCTAAGTGGGCAAGGTCCTCCTTTTATATCTCAAGGGGATACCACATGCACCATCTCTCTCTCTCTTTCTTTTGTGTGGGGACTCATCCTCTCTTCCCTCCAACTTGACTTCTCTTCATTAATGGACGGAGATTTGTATGGCTGCCGTCCGAATGACCTTCTGATGGGACGGCCCATACCTACCTCCACTTCCGCCGGAAGCAGGCGCGACGTGGGAACATGGCTGTCTGCTGACGACATGACCATTGTCAGACCGGTCACAAATCGGTCATTCTTGTCCACCACGTGTCAGTTTAACAATCTGCATGTTCGCCCTTCTTCATACAATATCTTGCCTGTAATGGTTAGGATGAAGCCTGGCATATATCTGACCGGAACCAACGTGCCATCTCCAGGAGCAAACACGCCGGCTCCGGCTAGGGACGAGTGCTTGGAGGCTCTCGTCCTGACGGGATGGGGCGAGGCGTGCGTCAGACCGCCTGTCGCCACCTAGCCCACGATCTGACCGGTCTGTGACTGATCACAGACCGGATGAACGAGCGCGCTGCACTGCGTTACATGCGGCGTGACGCGCTCGTCCAAACCGCAATAAATGCGGTTAGGTGAGCGCCGCTGCGCTCACCTAACCCATACACGCGGCGCAAAATCCACAAGGGGTCGGGGCGCCTCGGCCCTCGGGGCCGAGACGGGAGCGGTCCGACCCCTCGGGGAGACAAAGAGAAGGGCGGCCGTATCACCCTCGGGCCCGACCCCCCCTCCCCCCCCCGAGGGGGTTAGGCCACGTGGGTGATCGTGTCTGCCTCAAGTCTCTAAGTCATGATACTCCCGGTCCCATGTCACCGACAGCTCCAAAGGAAAAAGATTATCTTAATTAGTACCTCTTGTAAAAAACCACGCATTGTAGATGCTCTTATAACTGTGACACGTGAGGACACTTCGAATCAGTAACATGTGGATCAGGTTAGGCAAATCATCAAATCACCAATCTAATGGTTAAACCCTTTTAGCTAAGTTTTAAAATGTATTCCTTTTCTATAAGAGCAGGTATAGTAGGGTACAATCAGCAGGCGGTAGAACTGTTCATCTAAGAGTAAAGCCTACATGGAAGAGTGAGAAAACATGAGAGAGAGAGAGAAGCCGGCCCTTAATCTATCGTTGGGCTACAGCCATTAAAAAAACAGCATGACCAATCGGTCATCCATGCATGCTGCAGCTGCAAGCTTTTTCCACCACTTAAACGCTTCCCAATGGCCTCAATGAGAGAGAATAGAGATTGTGAGAGAATAATTTTTGCTGAGTTGGACTTTTTATAGCCCGTTGCTGGCTATACTATTAAACCTGCTCTAACCGTTAGAGAGACTAAGGATCGTGTCATAATGATTCTATATCGATGCCTCTACCTTAAAAAATTATGAATTTCACTAGACTGATATTTATTTAGTGGCTGTTAGAGCCTATGTGTTTGAGAGAAGTAAAAAGGAGAAGATACATGAAACGAGAAGAGCAACTAGTACATCTATTAATTATTTTAAATTTAAAATATAGATTAATATAATTTTCCAAACTAACCTTTCTATAGATTTTTTTTTTTTACAAAAACACATCATCACTTAGTAGTTGGGTAAATGTGCTCGTAGAGAATGAGTGAATTTATCTCCCAATCAGTATATGTGGAACGCATGGAGTACTCCGTAACATTTCCGTTATAATGTTAGTGGATAAAATTATAAAAAAAAGTAATAATTATAACTCTGTTACAACCATGACATTCCCAACACGTTGGGCCCATATAACAACATACATACGCGCGCACTCTTTTTTCTTAAAAAAAACAAGCCAGACATTGGATTTTCTATTCGACTTATACTAACAAAAACTCTTGAAGGAAAAACGTACTTGGTAAATAAAACATAATCTACGAATCCGGATCATAATCTACGTATGAGACTGAGAGGGACACGAGTGATTTGACGGGTAGGTTTCTATATCCTTAATTAGTACGGAGTATGTTCTTATTATTCTAATTAATTTTGATTTTCCTACATAATAATACTGCATAGAGAGAGAGAGAGAGAGATACAGGTGGCCCCGGCACACAGTTCATTTGCAACGCAACGGCTGTTTCATCTTCTGACGAGATCACATCCATGCAAACGCAAGCAATTAATTAATCCCCTAATCCCCCAAATCCTCATCTCCAAATCCCTCCTCGTCTCGTCCTCCACCGTAATAATCTCTGACCAAATCGCCAAATCATCCGCCCAGAAAGCCGCCGATCGATCTCGTCGGAGAGGGCGCGCGACCAATCTCGACCGATCGATCGATGATGCCTCCGAAGCCGGCTGCGGAGGACGTCGCCGACGAGCAGCCGGAGCCGCCGGACGAGGACCCCGACGTCGCCGAGGCCGACCCCACCGGCCGCTACCTTCGGGTCCGTGCGAGCGTTCTTCCATGTTTTGATTTTTTTTTTATTTTTTGGCGAGGTTTATGCTGGATTAGTTTAGTTTGTTCTTCTGATTTGGCTGATTGATTTCGCGCGTAATGACAGTACAGGGAGATCATCGGATCAGGATCCTCCAAGACAGTGTAATGCTTCCAATCTCTCCCTCTCCTCGATTGTTACACTTCTCGGTTAATTATTTCAGAACCATGCGTACGGAAAACATTGGTAACATGTAGAATAAAACACACCCTAAATATCTTAGAAAATGATTTTAGATTGTTTGGGACGAACGGATCATGAAATTTCTGCATTGCAAATAGGGCCTAATAAGATGATTGCCTTTTCACCGGATATGAACAAGAAAGCATTGTAACCGTTTTTTATAATTAGAAGAAAGCAAGGTTTCAATTACACAACGCAACCAGTCGAACTGCCATTGCCAGGGGAGCTAAAGGGAGAAAAAAACCGAAAACTGAAAAAACCGAAGTACATTGCAACAGTGTTCATTGACATGATATACTATGTTGGTAATTATATGTGATATGCAGCTACAAGGCATTTGATGCGGTGGATGGCATCGAGGTGGCATGGGGCAAGGTGGAGATAAACGAGAGAATCATGGGTTCATCCAAGGAATTGCAGCGGCTTCGCACGGAGATCCAGCTGCTGAAATCGCTGCAGCACAAGCACATCCTCAAGCTCTACGCATCCTGGGTCGACACTAACAGAAGGACGGTTAACATTGTCACTGAGCTGTTCACATCTGGTAATTTGAGAGAGTATGTATTTATATGCCACACCTGCCATTCCTCTCTCATTCTTGCTACAACACTATTCTATTTCTTTTTTCTTATTTTTTTAAAGCGGGGGTTTTAATTTATTTTCCGTTTATGAGTAGGTTTTATTGGTTCTACATTCATATCCACCTTCTTTGGAACAATGGTATAAAACTACTCCATCTGTTCTAAAATTTAGGGCATCCTTATTGTTAGTAAAAATCAACCTTTGGTACTTTTGATAAATAATTATGCTAATAATATATATGCTTAATGTCATGTATATCATATCGTTAGATCTATATTTTAAAATACTTTCATATGATGCTGATTTTATAGTTATTATAACATATTATGAAAGAAATTAGTGGTCAAAGTGTAAAAACTTATAGGCCTTAAAATTTAGGATAGAGAGAGTAGAGTACATCAGATAAGCAAAAAAAAGTTCAATTGTGTTTTATGATTAGGGCTTTGTTTTCATGCATCACCGATCGTTTGGGCTTTTATTTAGAAGAAAATGAATACAGCATAATAAAATTAATTGGCTATTTGGCTTAACGTTACATATTTCTTTTGTTTTCACTCCACTAGATGAATGCATAATTTGCCCATTCAATATTTGAAATATCTTTGACACTATGGCTGTGTTTAGATCCAAAGTTTGTATCCAAACTTCAGTCATTTTCTATCACATCAACCTGTCATACACACACAACTTTTCAGTCACATCATCTCCAATTTCAACTAATCATCTCCAATTTCAACTAAAATCCAAACTTTGCGCTGAACTAAACACAGCCTATGATATGACTAGGTACCGTACAAAGCACAAAAAGGTTGACATGAAAGCAATGAGACGATGGGCAAAGCAAATACTGACAGGGTTGGAATATCTACACAGTCAGAAGCCACCAATCATACATAGGGACTTGAAGTGTGACAACATTTTCATTAACGGGAACCATGGGAAAGTGAAGATTGGAGACTTTGGTTTAGCAATGGTGATGCAGCAAAGGAAAACACGGAGTATACAAGGTCGGTGAACTGCTCCACAAAGGCCACAATAATTACAAGTAAATTAATTACAAGGACTGGAGACGGCTGTCTTCTATGCTTTCTTGAATTTTCTTCTTTATCTTCAAGTAAAACATGAATCGACAATTACTCTTGTTAAATACAGGCACCATAGAATTCATGGCACCAGAGCTTTTTGGTGAAAATTACAATGAGCTGGTCGATATATATTCTTTTGGAATGTGCATGCTGGAGATGGTGACTTGTGAATGCCCATACAGTGAATGCAAGGGCTTTATTCAGATATACAAGAAGATTACTGAAGTAAGTGGCCTTCTATATACAGCATTCATACATATACCTACTTCTACGATTCTGGTAGCTAAACATATAACTCTTCTACATCAATATTCATGGCGCTGTAACTCTTCAGGGTGTAAAGCCAGCTGCTCTCTCCAAAGTCAAAGACGCAGAAGTGAGAGGCTTCATTGAGAGCTGTCTAGCTTCAGTATCTGACAGGTTGCCTGCAAGTGAGCTCTTGAAGAGCCCTTTTCTTCAGAGTGATGATGCCAATCACAGAAGCTCCAATTCAGTTCAAGAACCAGTAAAATTCCCTGAAAACAATTTTACTAAAGATGAACCAATTTTTGTCTCTCTGGCGCCGAATAATGGGACAGTCAATGGGAAGGAGCAATCTTTCATCTTGGTGCTTCAGAAGAGTGATTTTTTGTTGGAAGGGAACATGAGCACCACCAACCCTGTCATGCTGTTTCTGCGATTCCCTGGTCCTGATGGTAAAATAATAAGCATCAAAATGACATCTTAGCCTCTTAGGATTTGAATGCAACTTAGTTTCTGTCTTTTCGAACAACAAAACTGACTTAAATTTATAATTTCTTTTTGCAGGTAAGTTCAAGAATGTTCAGTTCCCCTTTGACATGGAGAAAGATACCAGCCTGTCGGTGTCCACTGAAATGGTTGAGCAGCTTGAGCTGCCTGAATGGAACAACCCTGTCTTGGCCGAGTTGATAGACGCCTTCTTACTACACATTTTGCCCAGTTGGAAACCCTGTGTTAAAGTTGGAAAGATGTTGCCAAGTTCTTCCTAGGGAGTGAGTTGTCCAGTTTTCCCCATTTCGGTGGCATGCAGAATATGGTTCATTCTCCTTGGTGCATGCTCAAATCTCAGCGCCGTGGTTTTCACTGACGATTGAGAAAATTTGTACAGAATTACTGCTAGGGAAGAGTTCTTAATAGAGTCGATGAATTCTTGATTTTAGCTGTTGTAGCCTGTATGTGAATTCCTGCATAGGATAACGGTGCTGCCAATGCTGTATCCAGATATGATGTTCCATCACTTGTTCTTTTCCTTTTCTTATCTATCCATCACTTTTGGATGGCTAGAACTGCTTCGAGATCTTGTGCACATCTATAAATAAAAGGCAAAATTTGCTACAGATCTGTCGCCACTGGTTTACCGCATTCCTCTTCTATAACAAAGACGGTGCCACCATTGTCTCTGCCCTACCATGTCCATCACTCATCATTGGGCTTTCGTGTCCTAAGACCTCCTTCTAAGACCTAATGTTGGTAAGTTCTTCTCCCTGCCCCCACTCTCTCGCCATCACCTCTGCCTCCACTCTCTCGCCATCACCTCTTCCTGTCTTCATAATCTAACAGAGGCTAGAGTGTGATTGAGACTTAGAAAAATAGAAAAAAAATCCCAGTCGATTGAATTGATGGGCAGTAAGTCTATTTGCTCATAAAACATAAAAAGGGTAAACATTGCATCATGAAGTAAAAATGTCTTTCACATAATTTCTAAATAAAGATGATTAATTGTGAGTTGTTTCTTCCTATAATAGACAATATACATTTTATTTCTATAGTGTGTTTCATTCATACATTTTAGTTACCAAGATATAAACCCATAATTTTATCTCTATATAGTAAATTTGTTTGGTCCTCCATGGTGCCCGGGCACCAATGATTGAAATCGAGTATATACCCAATTTGAGTATGATACTTTTTTAAATGTTTAGATATTAACATTAACTACTTTACTAACTAGTTCAAAGCAAGTTTGAACTGAATCTGAACTTGTTTTTGTTAGATTTTGATTCTAGGTATATAGCATCCAAACATATAATTAGTTAGGTATGTAATCATGGATTGTGAAATAAAGTTAAATTTGAGTTATTTTGTTGATAGGTATAGGTATGAATCGAATTACACATTAGTATTCTAAGAAAAACATTTTTCCTACCTATCCCTAGCGTTACAGTCACACGGCTCCACAAATGTGCCCTACCAATTTGGTAAAAAAAAAAGTGCCCTAACAAGTAGGGCACATTCCAAAATGGCCCTCTGTTCTTGCCATGCCATGGCGGAATAGTTACAGTTTTGGAAGAGTTTCCAATGAAGTCTGCTAATTTTAGTTTTAGCTGATGTAGCCTATATGTGAATTCCCCATCTGAGAACAACGTTGCCAATGCTTTTTTTTTTGGGTTATCTATTCGCCACTTTTGGATGGTTGGAATTACTTTGAGATTAATGTACACACATAATTAAATAAAGCTAACTCTTCTTGGTCCATCGCCATCCCTCACGTGAACTGCCAGTGTCTCCAATCCCTCCCCCACCCTCAGTCACACTAGCAGCCCTACTTCATTGGCAAGGCTTGTTGGTGCATTGATCCCATACAGTGTTGCCCTCCCCGACTGTCGTTATTTTCTCATCCGTTTCTCATCTTCCTTGTCTCTAACAGAAATCCCTCACTCTGTCACTCCTCCGAGCTCATCTATGGTGCACGACTTGTGTCGTTAGATCTATCACCAATGGGTTACCACCCTTCAATCCCACAACTAAGGCAGCGCCACATTGCCTTGATGCCCTGCCACGCCCATCACTCACCATCGGGCTTCCGTCTCCTATGCTTCTCTCTAAGGCCCTACGCTGGCGAGTTTCTCCACCCTACCCTAATCTAACTAGAGTTTGAAGGATGATTGAGATTTAGAAAAAAAATAAAAATCTCGGGCGATTGAATTGATGAGCAAAAAGTCTATCTATTCATAGAACATAAAAAATGTAAACATTGCATTGTGTAATAAAAATGTCTTTCACATAATTTCTATATAAAGATGATTAATTGTGATAGGTGACAACTTATATCTTCCTCCCCATCCCTCGCATGACTTTCTAGCGTCGCCACTCCCCCTCTTCCCCAAACCCTCACACTGATCACCACCCCTAGCCTCATCAGTGGCGTGTTGTAGCTTCAAGAAGGTGCGATGCGCTAGTTGAGCGACAAGGTCAGGGAAGATTGGGTTGGGGGGAGGGGGGGGGGGGAGAAGATGAGGAAAGGAGTTGAGAGAGGAAGTTTTCAACAGAGAAAGGAGAGAACCAAGAAAATAGGGTGAGAGGGAAATGAAGTACTAATCTGGAAGTTGGCGGCCACCAGCACTTCTACCCTAACCTTTGTGCGTGAGAACGACGAGACGAAGGCGGCGGCTGCTACTCCAACCCTAGTACCTCCCTTGATAGGCCAACTGGGCCTTACTGGGCCCCTTCTCTTTACAGCCATTGATATCCACTTAAGGCATCATAGCCGTTGGATCTTCTCTTCCCTCACAACCCTAGCATGTTCCCTTCTCTTCTCCCTTCACGCCGTCACACGGCACAGAACCACTTCTAGTCCTCTTCCTTCCTCAACCTCTTCTTTCCTCGACGTTGTAGGATCGAGATGTCGACTAGAGGGGGGGTGAATAGGCGATTTAAAACTAAATAACACCTAATCAAATCTAACCTAAGTTGCTAGGCTTGGTGAGGGTGAACTCTAACTAAGCAACTAAGTTATGTTTTTCAAACCTAGGGTGATAGTGGCTCAAATATATCTCTAGGAAAGTAAATCACGCTCCTATGTCGATGTTTTGCAATCCTAGGGTGATATGATCTCAAGTGTGTCTCTAGAAATGTAAATTGCACAAATGTAAATGCGACAATCAAATGAGACAATGAGACAAGAGATTTTTCACCGAGGTTCGGAAACTCGCCGGTTTCCTACTCCCCGTTGAGGCGAGCCCAACTCCACCGCTCAACCACGAAGCCACCGCACGCCCCCTTCGTCAAGGGGTGGGCAAGGCGGGAGCCGGCCCACGGAGAGGACTACCCAAGCCTCGATCACTCGGGGTAGTTCTTCCTTCACTCCGAAGGTGGTGAACTCCAAACCACTCACAAACCGGCGCCGGGCCTCCTCCACAATCTTCTCGGAGAGGTCACCGAGCAACTCCTCCACAAGCCGTCTAGGAGGCGGCAACCTCCAAGAGTAACAAGCAATGACCCGGTGTGGAGATGATCAAGTGCCACACTAGCTCTACAATGGAAGCAAATGCACTTGACTCTTGGTTAAACAACCCTCTAACACACTAGATGGATGAACACAAAGCTCAAGTGAGTGTGAGAGAGGTGCAATGAGTGTATGCAATTGAATTGGGTGCCAAGAGAGCCCCCTTGCTGCTGGTGGGGGAGTATTTATACTCCCACCCACCAAAACTAGCCGTTGGGGGCAAAATCCCCCAACTCTGTGCTCTGCCGGTCTGACCGGAGGTATGCGGCCGGTCAGACCGTGCTACTCTGCAACGGCTAGAAAACTAGCCGTTGTAGCCCTGTCAGAGGGCCCCATCGGCCTGGCCGGTCAGACCGACATAGGGTGGCCGGTCAGACCGGCCTCGGCTCAGTCAGACCGGCCTCGGCTCGGTCAGACCGCCATCGGCTCGGTCTGACCGACTACGGCTCCGTCGGCTCTGTATCGGCCATCCCGAGCAGCATCATCTCGGCCTCCAGGAGGCCGGTCTGACCGGGAAAGTGCCGCCGGTCAGACCGCCACTATGTAGCCGGTCTGACCGGCCAGGGCACGCCGGTCAGACCGCCACTATGTGGCCGGTCTGACCGCCCCTGGTCAGGCCGAACCCAGTGAATTTGTGTAATGAAAAAGAGAGCACAAATGAAAATGCAATGACCTAATGTGGCAATTAAAATCATCTCTTTGCTAGGTCATTACCCCTCTTAATAGTACGGCGAAACTAAAATTAAACTAGCAAATTTGATCGCCCTACACCTCGATCAATTCTAAATTAAAGCGCTAGTTTTACCGTCTTCTTTCCCTTTGCTTTGCGCCATCAATTTTAATCCATCGATAATCATCCATGCGCGCATATGACGTGGACCTAACTTAAAATGTATAGCTCAAAGACAACGGTTAGTCCACAATTAGTACTTGTCATTAATTACCAAAATTAACACCGGGGGCCTAGATGCTTCAGACGTAGAACCACTTCTTCTTCCTTCCTCGACGCTAAACAGTGCCCCTGCGTGCTTCTCCAGCTGTCGACCCGCACTGCTTTCACTCCCTCAATCTATCTCCACCTCCCTAGTCGACCGCCAAAAAGATGTTGGCGCTTCCAAGGTAGGGAACTCGCTTAACATGGCTACTAGGGGCAAATTGTGGTGGCCTTCCTCCACCTAGCTAGATCCGAAAGGCTGTCGACGCACTGCCTAGATTTTATTCTTAGAACACTAATTTCTCCTCTTCATCATCTTCAGTGAACTTCACTCACTCGACCTCTCCTCTTGGCTTATCTCTAGCATCTTGCACCGTTGGATCTACTGCCTACCGGCTAACTGACCTCACCTCCCGCGACTAAGCCGGTGCCACCATCGCCTTGCCACACCTTTGAGCTTCCGCCTCCCAAGGTCCCCATCTATGGCTCAACACTGGTAAGTTATCCTCTTCCATCCTGTTCTTCGGCCCTCACCTCTATCGATTTATGAGATTTTAGAAAAATCATCGATTTCTATGATTTGGAAAAGTCAAAGTTAATTGATAGGTATTAGTTAAGTCTTGAGATATACCTTGTCATTGTTGTGTTCGTACAAGATGCAAATAATAAAGCGACCTTTTCAGATACAAATCCAGTACTAGTTTAGTATACTTTAGGATGGAGGGAGTACATGAGATATTGCTCACAATTATTGCGTTGTGTGGAAGAAATGTCTTCAACATAATTAAGAAGATGATTAATGGTGATATATAACAATTATATTTCTACCGAGAATAAGCAGTATACACTATATTTGTGTCTCAGACATTTACTTTTTGAAGCTATAATAAACCCATATAATATTTAGAAAATCACACGCAGAATCGAGAAAATAGGGCGAGAGGAGAAGGAAGTACTAATCTAGAAGCCTCCGGCCACAGGTACATCTTCCTGACGTTTGTGCATGAGAATGATGAGACGAGGCCGATGACTGGGACTCTAACCCTAGTACCTCCCTTGATAGGCCAACTGGGCCTTACTGGGCCCCTTCTTTTCATAGCCATTAATTTCCACTCAAGGCATCATAGCTGTTGGATCTTCTCTTCCCTCACAACCCTAGCATGTTCCCTTCTCTTCTCCCTTCATATCGTCACGCGACATAGAAAAATCTCGCCGCCTCTTCTAGTCTTCTTCCTTCCTCAACCTCTTCTTTCCTCGACGCAGAACCACTTCTTCTTCCTCCCTCGATGCTAAACAGTGCCCCTGCGTGCTTTCTCCAGCTATCGCCCTGCACCACTTTCACTCCCTCCATCTATCTCTACCTCCCTAGTAGACCGCTGAAAAGATCTTCGCGCTTCCAAGGTAGGGAACTCGCCTAACATAGCTACTAGGGGCAAATCGTGGTGGCCTTCGTCCACCTAGCTAGATCCGATAGGCCGTGGACGCACCGCCTAGATTTTATTCTTAGAACACTATTTTCTCCTCTTCATCATCTTCAGTAAACTTCACTCGCTTGGCCTCTCCTCTTGGCTCATCTCTAGCATATCGCACCGTTGGATCTACTGCCCACCGGCTAACTGACCTCGTCTCCCGCGACTAAGTCGGTGCCACCATCGCCTTGCCACACCTCTGAGCTTCCACCTCCCAAGGTTCCCTTATATGGCTCAACACTGGTAAGTTATCCTCTTCCATCTTGTTCTTCAGCCCTCGCCTCTATCGATTTATGAGATTTTAGAAAAATCACCAATTTCTATGATTTGGAAAAATCAAAGTTAATTGATGGGTATTAGTTAAGTCTTGAGATATCCCTTGTCATTGTTGTGTTCATACTAGATGCAAATACTAATGCATTATTTTCAGCTACAAATCCAGTACTAGTTTAGTATACTTTAGGACAGAGGAAGTATATGAGATATTGCTCATAAATATTGCATTGTGTGGAAGAAATATCTTCAACATAATTAAGAAGATGATTAATGGTGATAGAGAATAATTATATTTCTACCTATAATAAGCAGTATACACTATATTTGTGTCTCATACATTTTATTTTTGAAGCTATAATAAACACATATCAAATTTAGAAAATCACACGCAGAACCGAGAAAATCGGGCGAGAGAAGGAAGTACTAATATGAAGCCTCCGGCCACGAGCACATCTTCTTGATGTTTGTGCATGAGAATGACGAGACAAGGGCGACGGCTAGGACTCTAACCCTAGTACCTCCCTCGATAGGCCAACTGGGCCTTACTGGGCCCCTTCTTTTCATAGCCATTAATTTCCACTCAAGGCATCACAGCCGTTGGATCTTCTCTTCCCTCACAACCCTAGCATGTTCCCTTCTCTTCGCCCTTCACGCCGTCACGCGACACAAAAAAATCCCGCCGCCTCTTCTAGTCTTCTTCCTTCCTCAACCTCTACTTTCCTTGACGCAGAGCCACTTCTTCTTCCTCCCTCGACGCTAAACAGTGCCCTAGCGTGCTTCTCCAGCTACCGCCCCGCACCGCTTTCACTCCCTCCATCTATCTCCACCTCCCTAGTCGACCGTTGAAAAGATATCCGCGCTTCCAAGGTAGGGAACTCGCCAAACATGGCTACTAGGGGCAAATCGTGGTGGCCTCCCTCCACCTAGCTAGATCCGAAAGGTCGTCGACGCACCGGCTAGATTCTATTCTTTGAACACTAATTTCTCCTCTTCACCATCTTCGGTAAACTTTACTCACTCGACCTCTCCTCTTGGCTTATCTCTAGCATCTCGCTCCATTGGATCTACTGCCCACCGGCTAACTGACCTCGTCTCCCATGATTAAGATGGTGCCACTATCGCCCTTGCTACACCGCCGAGCTTCCGGCCTCCTAGGGCCCCCCTCTATGGTCCAACGTTGGTGAGTTATCCTTCCCTATCTTGCTCTTCGACTCTCAGCTTTATCGATTTATGAGATTTTAGAAAAATACCAAATTTCTATGATTTAGAAAAATCAAAGCCGATTGATGGGCAGTAGTTAACTCTTGAGATATCCCTTATCATTGTTGTGCTCATACATAGATGCAAGTTCTTTTTGGCTCATAGTAAAGACGCATATATTTTTTAGAGACGTGTCGGAAGAAATGATAAAAAAGGAGAAAATAATATGTTATATGTGAAATTGCTCACAAACATGGCAATACGTACAAAGAAATATCTTCAATATAATTACTGAGAAAAGATGATTAGCTGTGTGCTAGGCGATAATTTTATTTATACCTACTAAACCACTTTTATACTTCATAGTTATGTGTCACCCACATATTATTTTAAACTATAAACCCATAATAACACACAAATCTACGCATAACACAAAGCCTATCACAACATTTAGGAAAAAAAAAAGAAAAATCAGTCATGTATCACTGCAATTACGTGGCATCGCATCGCTGCACAGTGGCATCGGCAGCATCGGAGCGGCGCGGCATGTCACGTACGTGGCGTCAAAAGGCGTTCGTTGTGTCATCTCGCCGATCTCTCTGCCGGATACGATGCCGGTGCCGGATGCCACACGCCTCGCGCGATTGCAGCAGCGACCATCGTTTGCTTGTCAAGAAGGGAGAGGAGAGAGAAAGAAAACTTGCCCACTCTTTCCCATCATTTCACTCAATTATCGTTTCCTTCTCTCCGCTGCTGCAGCCGCGCTGGTTCCGCGCTCCTGTTCTTCTTGGCTTCTCGCCATGGGGAGGAAAGAGGGTCGGAGGAGAGAGATTGACAGGGATCTGCGGGTTTCTTGCGTCGGTTCCGGGGCTTGATGCGTGAGAGGAGCTTCTGAAGTCGCAGGAAAAAATGGTACGGCTTTCTTCTTCTTCTTCTTCTTCTTCTTTTCTTTGTCAATTTCGTTTGTTTCTCTGCAAATCTCGCTTGTGTTCCCGTTGGGATTTTCCCAATCGTTGGAGAGGGGGATGGATTTGCGTGGATATGGGCTGCTGCCTCCATCGTCAGCGGTGGCCTGTTAGGCTGTTCATGTATGCGTGTGATAAATTGGGGGCAAAATGTGTTCTTGGGGTGGTTCTTGTGCAGAGCAGGTTGAGAAGTTTAGGTCTGTAAGGGTAAATGTGATTTGTGAGCTTTCTCCCGATGAAAACAACCCAAAAGATCACCCGAATTTGTAACCTTTGGATTCGCCTGGAGATTAGTGGTCAAATCCAGAAATCAATACTCTCTAGTTTCGAATTTTGTAGGAAAATCTTAGGAAATAAGGATTCACTGTTGCCCCTGCCAACTGCACTAGCATAGTTCTCTGTAGGAAATTAGTCACGAGGTCGAACCTAGTGGGAACTTTGCTTTGAATCTCTCTCTCTCCTCATTCTGGTGATTCTATCGAAATGTGTTTTTGACACATCCTACTAAAATCCTGTGAGTTTCTGTTCTTTATAGACAACTGAGTAAAACTGGACCCATCGTTTTGGTCTCCACACAGAGTCTTGTGCTTTGTGTACAATAATAGTGGTAGTAGCTGGTTGTTTGGGAGCACACTTCTGTGTGACTACCCGGTTCCTGTGTGTGACATGTTGCGTGTGTCTTGCACACTTTCAAGAATGGATGTGTATCACACACTTTCTCATGATGCGATCATCTTCTGTAACGTTTGGCAATGAACTAGAATCCATTGTATAGGCTCTGTTTAAAAGATATTCCTGGGAATTTCGAGGAAAAACAACAGAATTTTGTAAACTAACATTTTGAGATTAGAGCAATTCTTCGAGGGGAAATTGAGCTCTAGCAAATATTTTTGTTATGGTGTTGCTAATAGGTATGAACTAAGCTGCACGGAAGCAATGGATGCCATAGTGATCACTCACTTACACTTCATGAATTAGTGAAGGGTGGTGCCTATTGTATGAAGTGGATGGCCTCATTAGGAGTGATTTATCTTGTTTAAGCCGAGTAGAGAGGGTGGCAAGGGGTTGGCGTATGTAGAAGCCATGGATGGCAAAGAAAATTATATTGGTTGGCTAGTTATGAACCATATCGGTTGGTTTGGGTAGTTATCATATTGAGAATTTATTGATTTTGATTTTGATTTCAAGAACAAAATGAGAGCAACCACAAACCCGCATGTAGGGTCCCTTCTTTTTATAGCCATTGATATCCACTCAAGGTACCACTACCGTTGGATCTCCTTTTCCCTCACAATGCTAGCCTCTTCCCTTCCCTTGTTCCTTCACACCGTCACGCGACGCAGATAAGTCTTGCTGCCTCTTCTAGTCTTCTTCCTTTCTCGACATAGAACCTCTTCTTCCTCCTTGACGTAGAACCACATCTTCTTCCTTCCTCGACGCAGAACAGTGCCCCTACGTGCTTCTCCAAAGGTTGTGGTGCCTTGAGTTATGATTTTGATTTTGACTTTTCTGCAATTGCTTGTATTGTGTCACCCATATATAGGGCTTGATTCATTGTCATGGTCAAATAAAATATCTATATGGCACACTTAAACAAAAAAGAACACTATTGTTGGGTTAAGTGTGGTCCTAAGTTCGAGGCCTTAATTTAACATTTTCATATTTTCTTATGAAAATGGAAGGTGACTTTTTTAGTTTGGTAAGTTAGAAAATGATGAGACCAATTGAAGGTCCTGACGTGTTACGAAACTCTCATAGCCTGCACACCATAAAGGTCAAGATGGGAGTCCTAGTCCACATAGCCTATATAACCTATGAGGAAAGCTACCTTACAATTCCTTCTTTCACCATTGCATCCTTTGGATCTCATCATCTCAATCTCTTCACATATCCCTTTTGTGCCATGAGATATTGGACCACACTTGGCGACTGCAACATTGAGATGGTACCTATGCTAGCATTGGCAATGGTAATGGCAACAGGTCATTGATGTTGGCTAAGGTTTGCTTCTTGTTTCCTTTCTCAATTTGATCCAATTTGCCAACCTCTTCATTGTTGTGCCCTTCCCTTATGTAGTCACTTTTGGGTTTGTGTTTGTCATGGATGCCTATTAGGCCTGGATTACAAGGCATTTTTTTTTTGTTTTAACCGTAGTGACAACCTTATTAGAAATTGATGTATTTTTTAGGGTACAAGCAACATGAATTTTGTTGGATATCACTATGGATTTGTTTAATGTTAGGGTGTAGTGAAATTTTGCTTGGCACTATATCTTGTACTTTCCACTTACAAGCAAAAATCATGCTAGAAATCGTTGGGAAGTTGGTTATCGCAAGTAACATTATTGAGTGAATGCTACACTACCATAAGTAATACATTTCTGTAATGTGTAGAAAAATGTGTGAAGATTATATTTAGCATTTTTGTACTTTTAGAATTCTTTTTAATTGGGTATGTTAGGAAAGGATGAGAGCAACATAAGGTGGGCAAATCTAGAAAACATAGCTTACATGGCCCATAAAAGCCCATGATGAGATCCCTAGACCAGAAGCGTATATAGCCTATAAGGAAAGCTATCTTAGGTTTCCTTCTACTGCCGCCTCCTTTGGATCTCATCGTCTTGATCTATTCTGCTATCCCCTTTTATGTTATGAGATTTGGGCTGCATGGGGCAGTTACATCATTGAGTCGATGGTAATGGCGATGAGTCGATGATGGTGACCAAGGTTTGCTTCATGCTTCCCCTCTTCATAGGGTTTGTTTTGCTTTCCTCTTCATTGATGTGCTTATCCATATATTAGTCATCTTGGGTCTCTTATTGTCATAGATGTCCATTGGTGATAATTTAGGATAACTGGGTGAGTATGAACGACAGTAAATGGTTAGATGTAGTGTTAACACTGGTTAAGATACTCGATACCTTCTCTATGTGTTGTACTAGCAACATGATAATTTTTTGGATAACATTATGACCAAATACCGAACCAACCCAAGATGTGGTGATGGGATGGCAAACTTAACGATGGCCACCACCGTGCAAGCTTGTTACGATTTTGCCTTATGGAAAGTCTTATGTTTTGCAAATGTACCTAAACGTTTTTTTTTCTAAAAATTGACCTGGTGCACGAAGCTCGGACATTTAGTGAAAGTCTACATGACACGGCGTTGCAGAATTTGTTGGGTATACTGCCAAATATGATGTTGTGTGATATTGCAGCTCCATGGATGGCTTATAGACGGCTTTAGCTTAGTGCTATGTACACAACATCAAATGTTGCCACTCCGTTTAGAAGGGTCCATGTTTAAAAGGTTTTGGTAGGGGTACATTTATACAAATATTCTTAAAAAGGCTAAATTGCAAAAACTACACCACTTGGTTATTTTTAAATGGCACAATTACATTTTGAAAATTTTGCAGAATGTCTTGTGTGAAGTGTGTGGAGATGTTGGTTGGGAAGAACTTATCTTGCACTGCAACAAATGCAAGAATGCAACTAGGCACCAGTATGTTTACAAGCCTTTCATTTATATTTCTTATTTCTATGGATGTTTATCTTTTATCTCAACAACTACCAAACGAAACTTGCTTCTTAGTTTATTTATGCTATTGTGGAGAATTGTGTTATCACACTATACAAATATATACTTCTACACAACTATACTACACCATGTAGTAGTTTGCCACCATGTGGTTGTCACATTTTCGGAGCACTATACTATACTTCCTCCGTCCCATAAAAACTGAATTTCTACCTTTGAACCTTTGTCTCATAAAAATTGTATTTTTACTTAATGTGGAACACAGTAAATTGTTTACATCAAAATATGTTTCCTTGTAATTTCCCTTCTTTCCATCCCATCTCTAACCCATTGTCTCAGCCTTCCTTCTAATCAAGTTTATATATAGAATATGTGCATGTACTGTGTTCATTAAATAAGATTATTGTGTTCATTTGATCATCCTCCTAATTTGTCCATTATTCCATAGAAATTCAATTTTTATGGGACGGAGGTAGTATTTATCTAAGTAGTAGAAAATAACCCATTTCTTTCACTTAACATTTTACTTAGCCCTACATTGCCCTACAAATAGCACTGAGTTATTCTGACACACATTTTTGTTTCATATTTCTATATGCCAGTTTATCTTTCACATCTATTATTATTTGTGGTAATTTGGGAGGGACACGAATGAGTGTTTAGACTTTAAAGGGAACACAAAAGGACATTAGCACCATCCAATAGGGATGCTTAAAGTCGTTTGTGGGGATCTTTCTGTTGCTTTACTTTTGTAAAGCTAAATTGATCAATATGTTGGGGCCTATATTGATCACACAAGTACGATGAAGCTTAGTGTATAAAGCATGAGATCATGGCCAACTAGGAATAAGGATTATTGTTAATATGGGACCCACTATGTATGTGCAATTAAGAGGGTTCATGATATGAAATCTTCTTGGTTGGAATTTAAGTGTGAAATTAGTTTACTACCAAGGCCCGTTGCCATCAATATATGTTGGTAGACTATGAATCATATGCGATGATATAGAAAAATGTGAAAAGTTTGCATAGCATGTAGGTGTTCTTTCTTTTTGACAACTAGGTAAATGTGCCTAGGATTTTTTTTATTTATAATGGAACAAAAATCCAGTCCGCTGTACCCGGAGATGAACAAAGCCATAATAACATATTAAAAGTACTCCAAACCAAGTGGAATAAAAGAGAAGTACAACATTTTAGTTCACACACAATCTATTGCTAAACCTCAAACCATGCTTTTTGAGAAGCTTCGTGACCACCCTCGAAAGTGGTCTTGCCTAATAGTCATCTACAGTTTCTCTCGCTATATTATAAAGTCCAAAAAATTGAACACATGAAGATAACCGGTGTAGGATAAGGAAGCTTCTTTTTGTCAAAGACTTACCATGTTGACATAGCCAAATGGACCAACTTAGCCACACAATACTCTTGTAAACCTAAAAGCCAATCGAAACGTATGGGTGATGCTTTTAGGTGGATTCATGTTGAGAACTACATGAAGTAAACACAAAGTGAGCTAGTAGACACTCAAAGAAACAATGTTGGATGGTCTCGTTGTTACAAAACCATATTTTCATGTCATTCCAATTTCCTTTTGCTAAATTGTTCTCTTATTAGAATCACACTCACCATAGGTACCATAAAAACACATTTACTTTTAATGGTATTCCTAGTTTCCATAGTTTTGGTGTAAACCCCTCTTAAAAGTGTCCTATGCCAAATGTGCCTATAGTGTGTTTCACACTTATTGATCACTAATTCACTATCCATTTTTCTTTTACTAAACATGGTTTATCGTTTTGTAGATACTGTTTTGATCCAGTTATTTATGATGGATCATTAGTAGAGTGGTTATGTGATGATTGCCTACCAAATGGCAATGAAGTGGGCAACTTATTAGATATATCTAATCAAAAGAAATCAAGTCAAACTGAACTTGGTTTCTCTATAACTAAGGAAACAAATGTGAAGAAGATGAAACTAACAAAGGGATTATGGTCATGGGGACATCATCGAAATAGATCATTCAAGGCAAGATGTGATGGTAGTGATTCAAAGACTAAGCATTTCGCAAGTGGAAATGCATTTAGTTCTTCCGAAGTGGTCACCGGGGAAATATCCAAAATAAATGATTGTGAGATGGAAGGGAGAGGTAAAAATGAATATTCAAGCCATTCAGCTTTGGACCATGCTTCAAGAGTTGAACAACACATCAATATACAAAATCCAATGGGCATTATAAAACCTAGTTTGAACTCTATTAAGAGATTAAACCTCTCGAATGAAAAGGATGACCGCTTTTCTTCATCCGACCATGTTGAGGGATCCATTCCCCAAGTTAATCATGTTGAGCGAGCCCATCTAATGATTGAGGATGGTTCTAATCCTACATTTACATGTGTGGAACATATGGATTTGGTGCACAAAAAGCAATTATTGCAACCTTCCTCTCTAGAAAGAAATTCTATAGGCACATCAATACCATGTTCGGAGAATATGGATGTGTTGCACAAGATGCAACTCTTGAAACCTTCCCCTCTAGACAAAAAATATGTGGACAGATCCATACCGAACTCAGAAAATATGGATGTGGTGCTGATGAGAAGGAGCTGTACATTGAATAATTCAATGGGCAGTTGTGAAAAACAAGTCGTAACCAAGGTGGATCCGATCGAGCCATCAAGGCAATTTGATCGGGCTTGCTTGGAGGTCTCTTCAAATGCACATGAGATACATGAGGCTGATGACGGTTCTAAAGGCGCTCAAAGTATCAAGAATGGCAAGCCGAAGAAACAAAGACGACTTATTTTACCATATGAGGAAGATAAAGATGCCGAGCCCATCCAAGTAGATGACATGAATCGCCAATCTTGTGGGATTAATGGACAAGTGAAGAAGCCTGTGGAAATTGTTGCATCTCTTGGGGATATAAATGCTGGATGCGGTCAGAATGTTTGTTCACAGTTAGCATTACCAACTATAGCTGTCAAGGGCCAATGTGGCCTATCCAGTACACCATTCATACCCAAATATTTTTGTGTGCAACCCATTGATGAACCTAATTGGACGTACGTTAGTTTTCCTCCATTCCATTCTGATGATCTTTATAATGTTTTTCTCTGTGCTGCTAATATTTTCGTTTTGTACGTTGACAGTGGAATCATGAAGATAGGTACAAACTACATTCCAGTGGGTGCACACTTCTCAAACAAAGCATGCAAGAAGGTGTGTGAACTATCTATGTCGTTGCCACAAATAATGAAAGTGACAGAGCTCCCTAAGTTGAAAGCCTGGCCTAAGAGTTGGGAGAAGGCATCAGTACCTAGTGCTGAGAGTATTGGCTTATTTTTCTTTTCACAGAATACGAGGTTTGTTGACCCTATGCATATTTGATTTTTTATTACCTTTGCTGTTTGGACATTAAGTTCTAATATTCTTGCTACTTTGCCAGGTCAAATAAAGAATTTGATGACCTAGTGAAGCATGTCATTGATTATGATATTGTTCTAGAAACTGATGTTAGTTTTGCCAAGCTGCTAGTCTTCCCTTCTGTTGTACTTCCAGCTGAATATCGGGGTAAGCATTTATAATGCAGATTCTATTATTTGATTTTATGAGTGCCATCAGCAAAATATGATATCTGATATGATGTCATGCTGCTTTGCATGTTCAACTATGAATTTGGTATAATTTCATTGATATTATAGTTCAATGCAGTTTAGCATGACTATTCATTTTGCATAGATCAACACTATTTAGTTTCGTCTTGACAAGATTTCCTTTTCTTTTCTGGCACACAAGTTTCTCGTTGATGAGTATATGAGTTAGATAAAGCTTCACTCCTTGTCATAGCATTACTGTAATATTTGTTTTTCGGTCACTTATCAGTTTTTATTATATTGTAGTATTCCAAGGAAAACACTATTTGTGGGGAGTGTTCAAACGCAGTAAAGATATGGCTGAAAGAGATGCCTTAGTGGAACAGAATTGTACGACATGTCTGGCAGATGAAGATGTCCCAGAACAGAATGCCTTAGATATTGTGCCATGTAAAGCCCTGGATCAAGAAATGGCGCTTGTTGTGAGCGATATACATCATGATAATCAACCATCGCTAACCACAAGCCAAGTGGTAGAAAGCGAGGCTTCATCTGACAAAGGCCCATCCCATCCTGTGATTAACTCCCCTGAAAGACCCATGTACCTGATTTTGGATACAAGTTGCAAGGTCCTAAAGAAATGGAGCTGCGAAAGGATGGATACGAAGTTATCGATGCTTTAGTTACCCTCCAAAAAGAAAAAAAATCCATCCTACATGCAGTCCTCCCTGTTCCATTTTAGAAGATTCAGCATCCGAGCCGTTTGCCTTCATCATTCCACAGACAGCATCGATCCAAGGAGCTTATTCAAGAGACTGAAAATGAAGATGGACTGTTGTTTTTTGCACACTGGGTTGGCGAAACCTTGGCCTAGGAGGCACTGATAATGGTGTAGGACAAGAACTTGGTCATGATGATCGATCGTGTCGTGGTTACTGTTTCTAGTTATGGTGCAGCACATTGACCCCTCTCCTGGGGTAAAAGCGCAAGCTATGAAGTGGTCCTAAAACTTTTTACCATGGAGCGAGTTCATTGCGCCTTTGGTGGCTATGTGCTGTTTTACATGAATCTCTAGTTAAACCTCCTTTTTTTGATGACCGAGCTGTGGACTGTAGTTGTCCCTGGCTGTTCAGGATGTATCATCCTACTCAATCAGAGTTGAATTGCCCCCAAAGTTTCACTGCACTCTCTGGTGATTGTCATCAGTAAAACTTGCAGCATGAATTTGTACATGATTCTTAAGCAACCTCACCTAGAACTGTCATGCATGAAGTGCCATCACTACTCTGCAAGTCTATTTGAAAAAAAGTTGGTTCTAATCTTTGTGCCATCTGCATGATCATTTTCGGTGTAGATTTTTTTTTTCTGAAAGTCTGCTATGTTGCTACATTACTGCTGTGATGAATCAAGTATTTTATATCTACATCTGTTACACCATCTGAAGATTAGAGCATCATTTAATCATGTGGAATGAAAAAAAAGAAGAAAGAAAAGAAATGGACCACCTTCTTTAGGTGTAACAGATGAGTTCTGTCACTCTGTTATGTTCCTAGTGCTGGAAGCAAAGGATGTCAATTAGGAGAAAATATAACCAACCTATGCCCTGCTCAGCATGTGCTTCAAGGTCAGGCTGATTGACTGGAGCTGGCAAGTTCATGCATCTATGACACAGAGCTCCTATATAAAAACTCCACAAATTTTAAAAATTTTGAAACACGTGTGATGCAAAGGGTTTTCCACAAATCAATGAGCATCTGAATTCTGAACTCCCAATGGAATTATAAGAAAAAAAAAAAGGACTCAGATTTTACAAACTAAGATTTTCTTTATCGTGTTCACCACAAAAGCACAAAGTGCACATAAACATAACAGAGTCATAAAAACATTTCATAGAAATAAGGAGCAGGCATAAAGGATCATGAACAACATGAATATGATCAAAACTGTCTTTCCTTGATCGATATATACATTTGTTCTCATTTAGAAACTATCAATTTATATACAAGATTGACGAATCCTTTAAAAAGGCATATGCCAATCACAAGACAAAGCTTGAGAGAAATCTATGAGCTAAGAATGTTCAGTAAAGAAACCCTGATCTGGATCAATCTCCTGAACAAGAACTCAGCACCATCCTCAAGATCCCCCATGCTATGCTCCAGTTCTTGCAACTGCTGCTCCTCACACACAACAACATTCCTTCTCTGAAACCTCTTGGACACCAGAGACCATTTGCTTGCACTGTTCTTGGCAATCTGCTTTGGCAACAGAAGAGATGTGGATTCAAGCACAGAGACAGCCATCTCTCTGGCTTCTCCCAGTAGCCTGATCATCTTGCAACTCTCTGAGATGGCTCCAATGCTTGTCTTCTTGAATGGCATCTTCTGCGCCTTCTTCGCGAGCCGGACAAAAGACTCGATCTTGTTGTGAACTGCCACAGAATCTCCTCTCTTGAGGAGTAGCTGCAGCTCATGGATGCTCATCTTCATCTCTGATAAGCTCTCTTGCATGGCATTGCAGAGATCAATCAGCAGGAGGGACATGTCAAGTTCTTCCTCCACCATCTTCCTCTGCTGGTGCAAGGAGATGCCAGCTTGGTTGCTGGGCAAGAACATGATCTCCTCTATGCTGTTGTAGACCTCTCCGAGCCTCCTCAGACCATCGCACATCGTGCCGATTGTCGCGGAAGGTGAAGAGATGCATGATCTCAAGCCATGAAGCTCTTCTTCCACATTGGATTCAGTGGAGTGAAGCCTGGATGGCAGACTTGCAGACCTTTGATGGGAAGCCATGCTTGTGATGTTGGATGCCAAGATGTGTTCTTCTGTCAGAAATGGAAGAGAAGAGAAGAGCTTGACACTTTCTTTTGTGATCAACCATTTGCAGCTCACTCTATTTATACTCGAGAACCAGAGGGAATGGCATTGAGAATGTCATCTCAGCTACCATTGCTCTAGCATTCGCTGTCAACTGACAATGAAGCAAGTTTTCTGCTAAACGCGGTGTAATCATCTGTCTCCAGGACATAGTTATGTTCTTTAATTCCAGTGCAGAGACATCAACAAGTGAGCTTGATGTGACCATGTGATGTCTCAGCTGTTGGTGACAAAAGCATCTGCACGAGTGCTTAGCTCAACCGGAAGATCTGGAGAACCAGTCATGCAACTGACCGTGATGTTCGTTGAAGCAGCAGCTGACTCTCATCTTGTAACAATCTGTCAATTTGGTTGCAACTTCTTGTAGTTGTACCTGCATCTAGATCTTTATGCAGCTCACTGTTAGCATGTCTCTCCTACCAGCAACATGATCCAATCATCCAATACCACTCACCGCTCGTGCGTATCATGATCTGATTGTTTTCTGAATCCAGATTTCAGTTGATGGCTAAACCATGGGCGATCTCCTGATTGGCTTTTGTAGTTATCATAAGAATGTTTTCGCAGAATAAACACCCAACATTGTTCGGTTTGCCCGGGGTCTGAAAAATTCTTGCGTCTGCCACTGGGCTAAACTGAAAATATAAAATGAAATTAGATCATGAGATCGGTGTAACTTTGAATCCATGTTCCTCTCTTTACTGGAAGATAGAGCTCATGTCATCTGTTTCAGGAAAAAATTATGAACACATGAACTATTTGTCAGATAACACAGTTACAAAGACAACTACAATGCTGGTTATTTTGTCAGTAAGAACAACTTGCACTGTGAATAACAACCACCTAAATTTTTTTTGTCTATTCTCAGAAGAAGATTCTTGGTTTCTGGAGTTAAACAGTTAAATATGCCACTGAAGATTCATATGCAAATGGTTTTCCTGTCAAGCAAAATTCATGACATAATTAAACAGAACAATAAAATATATGACAATACAGAATGTATCCTGGACCATGATGTTTGAAGGTACCATGTGTAATAATATGCTTCTAAATATATATATATTTTACCATAGGACCTAAAGTCATGTTTCACATGCTGGCAATGCACGGTTGCTCAATAGTTAACATATGGTGGCAATATTTATTATTAGAATTGTCAATCTGTCACCTTTCAATTATTATGGACAGCACTGACTGCACTGGTGTTCAAGTTAGTTTTTTGGCTGAAGGTTGAGGGAGCAAGAATCCCAAGGGAACAATATTAAAGAGCTGACTTAACCTCCAGAAACGTGCTCAATGCTTGTATTTGTACAGATACCATCAAAATAAAGTATGAACTCAACATCTATGTTGCATGTTGCTTCCTTGCTGGCATGTTTTATCCTCCTGCAACAAGATCCATCACAAAAGGATCAGTATTCTTGACCATCTGAAACAGGAACTCATTAACGCAGCTGTAAGATGGCTTCATGTGCATTGCAGAAATTTACCATAAGCTGAACCAAATAAGTTACCATTACTGTCTCTGCTCTATTTACAAGGATCAAAATTGTTGGCAACATGCTCTTAAGACTTGTTGTTCGACATGTATTAATATGTTATTCTTTCCTGTGCAAAATTTGGGTATGATGAGTTTCTACTAAATGGATTTTATAACAAGTTAGTTCATAACCAGTTGTTAGACACACATGATGAGCTAACTGAAATATTAATAATTGTGAGGTATCAAGACCAATTCAGATACAAACCACCAAGTAATAATTGGCCACTTTTAGAATAAGGCTGTAATGATTTGACACACTATTCAGCAAAATGAGCAAGAGGAATAAGAGCATGGGAGCATGCACAAAGGGACTTTGACAACAAGAACATGGTCAAAACTTTTTTTCTTTAATTTGATCAAACTATATACAATTGGTGTGCTATCCTAACATAAAATGTCTTAGAAGATTGACAGATCCTCTAAAATGTAGATGCCAATCACAAGCACCAAAGAGCAACAAGAGAGTCTAGGAGCTAAGGATGTTCAGCAGAGAGACCCTGGTCTGGATCAATCTCCTGAAGAGGAACTCAGCTCCATTCTCAAGATCTCCAATTTCACGCTCTAGTGCTTGCAACTGTTCCTCATCACAAACAACATTTTTTTTCTGGAACCTCTTGGAGACAAGAGACCATTTGCTTGAACTGGGTGCACCAATCTTCTTCACCAAGAGGCCTGATGTGGTATCAAGCAAAGAGACAGCCATCTCTCTGGCTTCAGCCATTATCCTAACCAAATTGCAACATTCAGCAGTTGCCTTGCTGCCTGTCTTCTTGAAAGGCTTTTGCGCCTTCCTCGCTATACGAACAAAAGACTCAAACTTGAGCTGAATAGCTGCATGATCTCCTCTCTTGAGGACCAGCTGCAATTCCAGGATGCTCATCTTCAGCTCTGATAAGTTCTCTTGCATGGAGTTGCACAGATCAATCAGAACAAGGGACCTGTCAAGCTCTTCCTCAACCATTTGCTTCTGCTGGGGCAAGGAGAGGCCAACTTGGTTGCTGGGCAAGCACATGATCCCCTCTATGCTGTTGTACACATCTCCAAGCTTCCTCAAGCCATCACATATTGCGGCGACGGTCACGGAAGGCGAAGAGATGTGTGCTTTTAGACCCTGGAGTTCTTCTTCAACTTTGGCCACAGTTGAGTGAGGCCCTGAAGGAAGACTTGAAGATCTTTGATGGCAAGCCATGTTTCTAGTGAATGGTATGATGATTCTTGTTTGAGATTGAAGAGAGAAGGAAGAACAGATGTAGTACTTTGCTGGTGCCCAACCTTCATGGATGGCACTGTATTTATAGTCAAGAACCAAATGCAAATTATGCAATGGAATTGACAAGTTATCTAAGCTACTAATCCAACCTCCATTGCTTGCAATCATGGAGCAAGTTTGTCTGCCTCCAAGACAAACAGATGCTCTATCACTCCAATGCAGTAGACATCAATAATTGAGCTTCAGAATATACGATGTCTCAACTATTGGTGACAGTGTGCGTGTATCTGCACGGGTGCTTAGTTCAAAATACAGATCAGCAAACTACTAGTGAAATAAAATAAGAAAACGAGCACTGAATTTCTTGATCTGAGGTCTGTTGAATGACCAGCTGGTCTCTCAAGCAGATCATTGCACATGCTCTGCAGTTATCATATAGCATGTTTAACATGCCTAAGCTAGACAGCTACATGCAGAATGATCCTAAGAAATGCTTATCCATTTAAAATGATCATGAAGCATTGGATCACTATTTCAGACATGAATGCATATAACATGATCCCCACATTTGATTATTTTAGAGAGCCAATTGTTGCTAAATTCTAATTAAACATATAGCTTCCTCAAGTTCCACATGTTGTAAATCTGGAGTCTGCACGAGTACTTCATATTCATAGTGTAGTATAGGACAAGCATCTGTCAATTAAGTTTCAATCATTTCAGGAAAAACCAAATGCATGCGTATTAGAATAAAGAGAACAAGATGTACTAAAGAGCAGACCAATCCAACCATAAGAACCATAAAAGGAAGAACTAATTATCTGCTAATATATTGCCAATTAGTATGAGGAATAAACTTTTCTAGTTTGTGTAACATTGAGACAGGAAATTATGTCTATGGTGCTTTTTCAGTTCTCATCAAGAACAATTCACACTGAATTAATGAACGACCTTTTTTAACTATAATAAAAAAATGCAATTATAAGGTTCATAGGCCTTAATGAGCATTACAAGTTATATCATTACTCTCTTTAATTTGAAGAAAACTACACAGAACGCATTTATGCATTGCCTGAAAATAAAATAACCTACCTTTCTTGAGCATGGTGCATACTCAGGGCATCATCATTCTCACAAACTACATACTATCTCAATTAGCAGAGTAGGAAAGAGTACCTGTCAAGCTGATCAATTATGGTGTCTCTATCTTCCAATGAAAAATGCCAAATCCTGTTATCAATGATAAAAGGTTTACTTGATGTCCGAGTCGATTTCATTCCATGAAAATATCACAAATCATATTTACTATAAAATAAAACCCAGGTCAGGCAGAAAGCAGAAGAAGAAAATCATCAGGAAAAGAAAATCAGATCCAAATATCCAAAGGCAGAAACCTCATAATAAAAATTATTGTTATTGCAAATTGGCCTTGTCCTTGTCAAATTTACCCAATCTGACAGATCCTTCATTCCTTCCTTACATTTTGAGTTATTATATATCATCAGGGGAAGGTGGCAGGTTGTCATTGTGAGTGGTGCTTGTCCTTGGAACATGGAGAAGGAAGCAACACAATTTCATATTGATCCACCCAATACAAGTGATTATCCCCTTACTTCATTAACACAAGTACTCAAAGCATACCTTCCAATACGATAACATGGTTCAGTACATTTCAATAACATAAACTTAAGGTAATTAAACACACTAATAACATAAGGTCCAGTTAATTAATTAGCCATAGCAGTATTCTAACACCGGTTCAAAAGCCAGTTGGAAAGTAAAACACTAAACATCAGCATCCTAACACCAGTTCATCACAAGGAGACCATTAGACATCACAACTCCAATCATACTTCAGCTTCGTCACATCAACCATCATTTGCTCCGGATTCTCGACGTTAAACTTGCCTATATAGGAGATGATAAAAACAAGTAATTAATATAATACACGTTAGGGATTGAGATCGAGTTGCAATAACTAATTAATTAATTCCCATTTAATTAGGGGATTTAAAGGACAATGTAAGAGCAAAGAAACATATATATTACTCCCTCCGTTTCTAAATATTTGACACCGTTGACTTTTTAGCACATGTTTGACCGTTCGTCTTATTCAAAAACTTTTGTGAAATATATAAAACTATATGTATACATATAAGTATATTTAACAATGAATTAAATGATAGGAAAAGAATTAATAATTACTTAATTTTTTTGAATAAGACGAACGGTTAAACATATCACGAGCAACCCAACAATAGCACGAGCAACCCAACAATTGTGCTGACAAAGATGATGAGGAACGCAACAGCAAGCATGTGTAGAGCCGAATACGCAAGAGCATTGCAAGTATCCACCTGCGAGAGGAGGGCCTCATGGAGCAGGAAGACGGACACGAAGCCGGTCCAGATGAAGGAGACGAACACAACCACGAGCGACACCTTAAAAAAAAAGACGCCAATATTAGAGTATGACCTAATATGATTAAATAAAGAGTAAATTTCACAAAACTACATGTTTTATGGTTCAAGTTATAGAAAATTACAGATATTTTGACACTTGGCACTTAAGTACATATATTTTGATAGTTTAGTTTCACAAAACCACATTATCGATGAATGGATTCACCCATGAGATAACGTGGTTGTTCCATCAAGGATGAGGACGTGGCATCAAGGATGAGGATGTCATGTCCTCATTCTAGGTGAAACAGTCATGTCATCTCGCAGGTGAATCCATTCATTGATAGTGTGGTTTTCTGAAACTAGACTACTAAAATATATGTACTTAAGTGCCAAATGTCAAAGTGTGTGGTTTTCTGCAATTTGGACTACAAAACGTGTAGTTTTGTGAAATTTACTCTTAAATAATTAAAGGGGGTGAGGCTTTAAACCCAGGTCGTCTAGCCCACCATCTTGTGGAGAGCTAGCCGGAAAACCCCTAAGCGTTTCTCACGAGCAAGACCTCAAACACCATGGTGGCCACGGTGACCGTGTCGACGCCGCCGCGCTGGTCGACGGCGAGCCACGCCATGACAGCCAGGAGGAAGAGCGAGTAGGCGGCGACGAGGACGCCGGCGTGGAAGGCGTAGGGCCCTTCCTCGAGCTCCGTCTGCTCCTCGGTTAGCGTCCATGTGGCCAGGGCGGATGCGGCCTCCTCGCTGCCGATGCGGTGGCGGTGCTCGGCGACGGCGTGGCCGAGGACCCCGGCGGCGCAGAGCATGCCGAGGACCATGACGGCCATGCCGGTGACCGGGCCGAGGAGTTGCGCGGCGGCGAAGGACAGTAGGATGCCGCATGTGATGCCGGTGAAGGTGGCGACCTTGGTGATGGTCTCTGACAGGGAGATGATCCAGAAGTACATGTAGGTGCAGGCGAGGAGCGAGAAGTCGGTGACCCAGGTTAGCGGCTGGTCGCCAGGTACGCGCCATAGGAGGAGGTAGAGGGAGAGCACGGCGTACGCCAGCGACACCAAGCGCATGCCGCCGCCGCCGCCGATCTCGTTGATCCTCATGCCTGCCGCCCCCAGGTGAAGAAGGAAGAAGAAGCTCTGCGTGCACTGATTGGTCTGGGCTTGTGGGCTTTAAAAGCCCTGACTAAACCCTTATACCGTAAAAAAATAAGTAAAACTAAACCCTTACTCTCTCTGTTCCATAATAGTATAAAGGATTGATTGTATAGATTCATTGTACTTCCGTCTCGTAATATAATGGATTGTCTGTATAGATCATTGTATTAGGATGTATCACATTCACCTAAAATACTAGTGTCAGGTTTACGGATAAGACATATCTCCTATCCTACAACTTACCAAATATACCAGATTAGCATACCTCATATCCTACGGCCTATTCCCGTATGCGATAAAGAAACATGCCATATATTATGGAAAATATCCTCACCGGCTGAAGATTATCAGAGTCCTAATCGAAGAGGATAGGGAGTATTCTATATCGTGCAGGGTTCGTTGTCTCCGAGTTCTACTTGGAGACTAAGGTAACTCACGGTGTAAAAGGCATATCCCCGGAGGGGTTCAGGGGCATCGAATCATAACGCCAACATACCCACCACAGCTTACAAAGCCGAAGCACTCAAGCTGAAGCCGCCGGGGATATCGTCGATCAATCTCGATAAGGATCTCGCCGGTATCGTCGCATTCATCTGTTCTCTTCGTACTCTACGGTTTTCCATATCAATCTCATATAAATTGGATTAGCGCTATTACCTCACGAGGGGCCTGAACTAGTATAATTTTTGTCTTCTGTCTACTTTGATGTCGTATCGTGTAGATCCTTGTACCAACATACCCCGATACTCTATTTATCCGGTCTACGGGTATCCCCCGTTGACAGTGGCGCGCCAGGTAGTGGGACTTTGTGCTCAAGGTTCTGCCAACATGACTTCAAACCGCTCCAACAACTTCGTCTACATCGGCCCCAATGCAGGAGATCCAACCTCAATTCCGCTACTATGGACTCAAGACGGATCTATCGTCTTTCCGGCCTACTCTGCGATACCGATCTCGTCTGGCCTAATCTCTGTCAGGAATGAGAACGTCGCAGCTACGACTTCGAGAAAAGACATGTCGTCGGTGCCTCCATCCGTCCATACGGAAAAATAGGAATCTACTACGACAACGTCTAGGGAACAACCTCAAGCGGCCAATCCCCGTCCCCCCATCGGGAACCAGTCGCCGACAAGGATGTTCTCTCAGAAATCAACTGCCTGGTGTGTTATACATAAGACACCCAAGCACTCTCTATCGGACTGCCCGGTGGTACAACATGTGAAGGATGAACTCAGAGCTTGTAAAGACCGAGGAATCCAGTGAACTTCACTGACAAATATCACCTGGTGTCCGATCCACAAATCGAAGATGCATGATCTCTCAAGTTGTAGAGTTTTTCTCAACGCCACTAAGTCCTCACGCCCTCAAGTCCAACAACCACGAGTTCAATCTCGGCGTGTTGCAAAGGAACAGGACGCAGACAAAAACTCAGATCGTTTTGTGGGATTCGTAGGTTTGAATCCTCACGAACCCTCGGTCCTGCACGGTTTGGATGATCGAGAATCATCTTCGTCGAACACTCCACGGGACATGAATGTGATCAACGGGGAGGGCGGCAGCGAACCATCTGCTCGAGCAAATGCGGATGACACCCGCACTCCTGCCCAACATCTGAACACCATCAACTCCATCCTAAGAGAAAGCCCCTTCGATTAGGTCATGCATCCCGACGACGATCTATGGGTTCAACGACTTTGGGAGATAGTGGCCAATCTGAACAATGCTTTTGCGGCGGTTGCCAAACCACCAGCCCCAGACTTGTCGCATCAAGGAGACAATATACATGACGGAGCCAAAACCAAAGTTAGTGAAGACCCTAGCAATCACCCAAGTCGAGATCTGGGTTGAAACCCCCACAATGCTTCACCTTGTATCCCTCGTCAACAAACCCCACCGCCACAAGGTAATCACGATTTACGCAATCACTTAGATGGGCGCTGGCGGGAACAACGAGTTGACAACGATGCTCACCAGTGCCATCCTCCACCGCGACGAAACAACACCGCGAATTGAGGAGGCCACCCTAACGAGAACCGAGACCGACAGGATTGTCGAAGTCATCATGACAATGACCGTCGAGAATGGCGAGATCGGGACGACAATGGTCGAGGTCAACGACGAGATAACGATGATCGACGACGGCGGGAATCACGCTCTCCAGCCTCCCGTCGAGACCGCCAACAAGGACGCCGATCCAGGAGCCGCGCTCTAGATCCGAGCGGCCCTTCGTCATCATCATCCTCATCGTCCTCATCATCAGCTAGACCACCTAGAAGACAGCATGGGCACCGACCACCTATCGTACCAGGAGGAGGATGCAGAGCCTTCACACCCACACTACGAGAAGGGGGACTCATTGGGCTAGCCAGTGGTCCTTGCAACTTGAGAAGGAGGACGAAGAAGCGGGTGCAAAAAATTGGAAGTCAAAATGATGGAGTTCTTACTAAGGCAGGGTGGAATTGGAGAGGAAGGTTGGAAGTTTAGGACTTTGTTTTCTCTCTTTTGTTGCTGCTGGATACAAAGAGACCTAGTGCCTGGCTTTTATGCTTTGTTGTGTTGTTTGGAACCTGTATTGCGAGCTTAAATGTTCAGATTATGTATCTTTAGGGTTGTGTATTTCCTGTGGGATGTAGAGGCCGGGTTTTAATCCATTATCTAAAAACAATGTATGGTATATAGGTAACAAGTCCTAGAATTGACAACACCGATATCACCCGTTGTCATGGGATTGCAAACTCACATGCTCAGTGAATGCAATGCACACATGCGCACATTATTCTGACTTCATGCATCATGCAATAGCAGTGTGCTTCACCGGTGAATCGGCTTCTGAAGAGATGATCCCGTACCGACGAGCCCACTAGCTAGCGAGAGCATGGCACCAAAGCTAGGCTGTTGTGCTCAATTTGAGGAGTGTCTATACTTCTTGCGCGTTAACTTTAGTGACAAAACAGTCGGATTTCAATTCAAAAGATTACCAAGATTGCAACTAACTCAAGCACAATTTAATTCATTAATATATGCTACAGCAAACTTCAAATTTAATTTAAATACACTAAATAAATTAAAATTTATCCAGAAAACTATTTACACTCAAATATGATAAAATTGCACCCTAATTACACATAGTTACATAGTAATTACACATATAACTACAGTTCCCCGGCTTCTCCTTTTCTTGACCTTTCGCCTGCCATCTATGCATGGCACCTTGGTTTTACTCCATAATAATTAGAGATTAGTAGGTCCTAGATAGCGTAGAGATGTATAGTATCAACAGTAGTAGTAACGATGGTACACTGGTAGAGAAACCATCTTTGGTCGGTCGACCCATATCCACAATAGTTCCGGTTCCATTAAAAACCGGGACTAAAAATGATTTTTAGTCCCGGTTAATAAGAGGAAGATCTTTAGTCCCGGTTGTTGTTACCAACCGGGACTAAAAATCATCTTTAGTCCCGGTTGGTAACTCCAACCGGGACAAAAGATGATTTTTAGTCCCGGTTGATTCCATGTCAGGCTGTGTCAGGGCCCTATGATCTTTAGTCCCGGTTAGTAACACCAACCGGGACTAAAAACCTATTTTTAGTCCCGGTTGGTGTTACTAACCGGGAATAAAAATCAAAACACACTATATAATCCATAGTACCGATCCTCTTTTCTCGTCCACACAACAAACTCCTCCCTCTATCTCTTTTTTTCCTCTCTAACTTCTTATCTCTTTCCTTATCTCTAACTCCCCTCCTCTCCTTCCTTTTTTCCTTCACCACAGTGCAGGCGGCCGGCGCGGAGGCGGCGACGCAGGGGACGGCGCGGAGGCGGCCTACATGGCGGCCGGCGCGGCAGCACGGGGGGCCGCGCGGCGGCGGCGGTGGGCGGCCGGCGCGGCGGCGCGGGAGGCCGCGCGGAGGCGGCGGCTGCGGTGGGCGGCCGCTCGGCGGCAACCGGCGCGGCGCTGGCCGGCCGGCGCGGAGGGGAGGAGGGGAGGCGGCAGTGGCCGCCGGCCGGATTTTTTTTCTTTTTTTTTTTTGAGATGTGAATCTGTGATGTATTTTTGTGTGAGATGTGAATCTGTGATGAATTTTTTAGAACCCTGTGATGTAATTTTTTTAAGAGTTTGTAATGTATTTGGAGATGATTTGTTTGAGGATTTGGAGATGTTCTGTAATATGTGATGATTTGGATATGGGAGGGGATGGTGTGAAATCAATATTCAATATTAAAAGCAGAAAAAAAAAGAAAAAATATCTTTAGTCCCGGTTGGTGTTATCAACCGGGACTAAAGATGCTCCCATCTTTAGTCCCGGTTGGTAAAGATTGATTTTTAGTCCCGGTTATTTGAACCGGGACTAAAGATAGCGATCTTTAGTCCCGGATTCGTAGTCCCGGTTGAAAAACCGGGACTACAGGGGGGTTACGAACCGGGACTAAAAAGCATTTCTCCACCAGTGGTATTACCCGTCTTCGGACATATGACGCCATATTTATAGCAATTCCGCTTGAGTAGTAGCAGGAAGCTTATTGAAGTGAAATATGAAGGTCACAGGGTGCTGGAGGGAGGAGACAATGAGCGAGGAGGAAAGAACGAAAGATGACAGCCGCTCAGCCTTTCATTCGCTTGCGTGGCCAAATCAACCAAAACCACCGCTTCCACGCTGGCGAAACAGCCATGCAAAATCAGTTTGGGGGGCTAAACGACCTTGTATTAGTAGTTTAGAGGGTTAAGTGAGCCTAAAAATTATTTAGGGATAAAGTAGACCAACGCAATAGTACCTTTTCTTGATAAATCAAAGTATACTACAACACCACTCTATCCTCATAAGGATATTCTTGGTTTATAGAGTAAAAAACAGTAAAACATGCCTTTTGTACGCAAGCATGGCCGCATGGACATAATTAAACATGATGTTTGGAAGTACCACACGCCTTTAAAACTTACTCCCTCCGTTTCTAAATATTTGACATCATTGACCTTTTTAAATATGTTCAACCGTTCATCTTATTCAAAATATTTAAGTAATTATTAATTCTTTTCCTATCATTTGATTCATTGTTAAATATATACATATAGTTTTACATATTTCACAAAAGTTTTTGAATAAAACAAACGGTCAAACATGTATTAAAAAGTCAACGGTGTCAAAGCATTTAGAAACGAAACGGAGGGAGTATCTTTCACATGCTGGCAATGCACGGTTGGTCAATAGTGATGATAAGTTCATAAATTAAGCTTAAAACATACGTACATTATTTGTGAAGACAAATTCATAAAGGCCATTTAACTAGAAACATAACTCCAACTATGCCTCCGGGTCATCGCAACACATACAGTGCAATGCCACCTCAAGCACTGGCACATAAGAAACTGACAATATCAATAGGCCAAACAGAGTTTTAATTCGAGCATAGCAACATACTAACACCAGTTCAAAAGCCAGTAATTTAAAAGGAAACCACTAAACATTAGCATTCTAATACTAGTTCACAAGGAAACTATTAGAGATTAGAACTCCCATAACACTCTGGATTCATCACATCAATTATTATCATGCTCCTCTGGATTCTTGACTTGAAGCTTGCCATCATACTTCAGATCCTTCACCTCAAGCTGCCATTCTACTTCAGATTGTTGATGTCAAGCTTGTCTAGGAGACATTAAAAGGAAGACACGGTACAGAATTTGTTAGGTTTTGAAAGTTGCTATGGCATTCCCATTTAAGTAGGAGATTGAAAGGAAGGTAATTATAATAGCATATACATACCTCTCAGTGACTTGTAGTGTGAGTACACCGCGACGAGATAGCCGAGGAACCCAGCCATCGCCATTGGTATGAGTAAAAGCACGGACAAGCCAAGAAGTTTGCTCTCAAACATGGCGATAAGCAGAAAAGCAAGGAAGTAGAGCGCAATTGAATATGAACCAGCCTTGAAGACGATGGTATCATGAGAGACAAAGGTATCGTGGAGCAAACCCACAGAGAGCAATATACTCCACAGGTATGAGATGAAGCACGTCCCAATTGAGACCTCCGCCAAAACGATGATCACCGTGGCCGTGCTTATGCTGCCCATCTCAGTGAAGACCAGCCATGCCGTGCAACCAAACACAAAGAGTGAATACGCGCCGAGGACGATGAAGGGGAGGCGCCGCAATTCCTCGCGCTGCATCTGCTCTGTGGTTAGCTTCTTGGTGAGCAGGGCATCTGCGGCCGTGTCACTGCCCGTGTGCTGGCGATGCTCGGCGATGGCATGAGCAAACATGCCGGTGGTATATAGCACAGCAATAACTATGACGGCCATGCCAACCACACGGCCGAGGAGGTGAGCAACAGCGAAAGCCATTAGAATGCCATAGGTGATACTGGTGAAGGCAACTAGCTTAGTGATAGCCTCGGACAACGAGATAATCCAACAGAACATGTAAGACAAAGCAAGGAGCGAGAAAGTCCAAATCGAGTTGATTAGTGGGTGGTCGCCATCGCCTTCTGTGGGTATAGGCTGCCATGGAAGAAGAAGGCATAGGGAGAGTACGGCGTAAAGGAGAGAGAGCAAGCACATGGCATAGGCAGTTTCATTCCTCATGCCCCAGGTGAAGAAAAAAGGATCGTTTCGATCGAGACGATGGATATTCTCACAGATATAGCGGTAGGTGACGACGGGCTTCGGCTTCTCCTCCTCCCCACTGGTCGTCTTCTTGTCGACCTGGGTGGTGGTGGTGGTGGTGGTGGTGGCGGCGGCGGTTTTCTCCTCGACCTTGACGGCGGTGGCGGCGGGGTTGTTCGTCTCCTCGACGACGGTGGTGACGGTCATCTCGTCCTCGACGGTGGTGATGGCGGCGGCGGCGGCGACGACGGGGGCGGCGGGTATTCGGTAAAGGAAGCGCGCGGCGCGGGTGGCGGCGGCGGCGGCGGCGGCGATCGGGTGGGGGAATTGGGGAATTTGGGGATGGTAGGCCAGGCTGGGACGGACGGAACCCTAGCACTCCTTTAAATTATTACTGAGTACGGAGTATTTATTATTGGTCGCATCGGATCGCTGGGTCGCTAACTCGATCGCTATCGCCCGTCGCTAATCACACAAATGCAAAACACCCTTCTAGCAATATCTATTTATTTCCGGATTTTGGTTGCCTTTCTAGTTTCCAATGTTTTCTTATGTACCAATTGTTTGATTTAGATTATTTTAGAAGATTATTGTAATGGATTACCTACTTGATCATAGATAAATTAAATGTTTTAAATAATCATTTAAAAAAGCATTAAAACAAGTGATACAAACAATATACTAGTAAACTAAATTTTTTTAGAAAATGTTTTTTTTGAAACATAGAGTAAATAGTCCGTTTTAATAATTAATCTGATGATGAATAATAACAAGAACATTCTTTTTAGTTTTTCATATGTGCACGTAACACATTTTTTCAGGATCGTCTATAGTTGTCTGGTCAGAGAAAAAAAATCATCACGTCCTCAAGAAAAACACAAAAACAAAAACAAAAAAAGAGCACTTCAATCCGTAACGCGTTCTGTTAAAATTAGTTCGGGCTCTACGTGCGTACATGTTCAAATTAGTTCACAGGTACTCCTATATTAGATGTATTCTCTCTTATATTAATTACTCTTTTTTGAAACCACTGGTCTAACCTAGTACTACTACGCAGTATCTGTGTAATCTTTGACCGTTGTATTTTCATCAAAAGAGTTTTGAAATTTACAAGTACAACATGCAATATTAGGTAGAAAAAACGAGAGGAAATGCAGGAGTAATATCTCTATACTCCCATAAAAGATATTAATGGTGATGTCACCATCATCATCTACTATCTCTATCCCATAATATAAGAATCTACTTCATCCATTTCATATTATAAGACTTTGTAACATTGTCCACATTTATATACTAGATGAGTAGTACCGGATGGGATGTCCTAGTACTACGAATCTACACTAACTCTCTGTCCATATCCATAGTACTAGGATGTGTCTCATCTGGTAATAGATTCTTATATCCTGTCCCAGATGGAGTAGCTACTATCACGTGGGGCCCATGTCCAGTGATAGGCTTTATAGTAAACGATAAGGTAAAGAGAAATTTATTTGGACTACTGGTAAAAAGTTCTATATTGATCTTAATTTGTCCATTCTTCATTAGGAGCAACAATAGTACATGTTACTTTTAGACACAACTTATTGTTAACAGTTTTTTTTAAGAAAAGTTTAGTTATCTTACTTGTCCTTTAGCAATCATATAAAGAGAGAATCAGACTGTGAAAGTTAAAAAAAAATCCATAAGATTTAATGTCAACTTCAAATCATGATTGGCAATCATTTATACATAACGCGTGCTAACCTATAAAGTTTGATGCAAGTATAGTCTCGTGAGTATACAATGAAAAATGAGTTTAGAAAGAGGAGGTTCTCTTTTAGAACAACGTTGCAACGCAGGGGTATTTAGCTAGCTAGAGTATTGCAGAATCAAAAAGAGTCCTTAGTTGTTTTTAATTGGCACGGGGAACATCAACATTATATTTTACATGCTCATATTCATTACAAGGTGAATTACATCACACCGTACCACAGCGTATTTCCAAAGTTTGTGGGCAAGTTATTGATCCAATTCTACAGTGAAACTATTGCATCCGCTTGCTAATCTGAAGAACATATACCTCCTCACGACTAAGTCACGAGTCAACAAGAACATCAACTCCATGATGCGTAGGCTAGATAAAAATCACGTATGGGTATGACAGCGGCAGACCTCCTTTGGAAGCTGTGCAGGTCATAATTTTCAGTATGTGTTTGCACCGGCTAACATCACCAGGCTTGTTGATTTTAGTAGCAACTAGCAACAGCTAAAATGCCTTCCATGCAACCATACAACCATTTGAAAAGTACCTTGCTGCCAGCAGTAAACTACGAGTCTACGACCACGCCTGAAACAGCCAACAGCTGAGTGAATCAAAAGTTCACCACAGGTATCAGTGTATCACTCTATAACGTAGAGCAAGGTCAATAGTATAGCCAACTATTAGCTCCAAAACATCTATAGCCAATCTAATAGTCCATTCATACAATAGTTAACTATAAAAATATACTACACCATTAATACACAGTCCCACCTCTCATACACACATAACATCTTAGAGTCCGTGTTGCAGCCGGCTACAAATCTGTAGCCCGCTTTCTTCTCTCTCTTCTATTTTCTTCTCGATATATGGTTACAGCCGGCTTATAGCCTGCTATTGTACCTGCTCTAATAGCATGCATGGCTCATACGGTAAGAAAATGACAGTGAAGGTATATTACCTGGGCATCTGGCAACTCAACTGAAAAGCAAACTATACTAACTGCGCATGACCAAACTACAAAGACACGTAACTCAAGAATCAGCAACATTGGCATAAAGTTGATTGAAATCAGGAGACAACCATCAAGAACTAATGAAATAGACCAAAACTCTAGAGAAATACCAGCAGAAATCAGGTAATATATGTACACCTTATGAAAGGTTGCCCATATAACACCGAAATATGATATTAATAAATGACAAATTATGCCAGTGTAGATTGCCTATTCAATTATTCAGATAGTTTCCAAAGAAGATACCTTCAGATAATTCATAGCCCATTTCATATCAAATATCCAACAATATGGATGAGCAAGTTATATAAGACAGTCAAGATTAGCAAGTCAGACAGGGAAGATGGAAGGGATAACAAACAAAACTTCAGCTCGATATAACTAAGTGGAGAACAAATATCAAACAATGTCGCAGAAAGAAGTATGATCACTTAACCCCCAAAAAAAATAGCAAGTGTGAATGTGTGATCATGCATTATATAATATGTTCAGGAATAGATCAACCAGCTCATAAATACCTTTTGTGCTGTCAACATTCAACAGAAATAGATGTTTGTGGTGTCAATATGCAACCAATTGAAAAGGACTAAACAAAATTGAAGAAATAAAGCAACAAGACAAAGCACAAAAAATTGTGCTCTATCTACAACAAGTAACAGGATCAACCTACAACTGCTGCTACATATGAACTTTGGTATAACAGTTTTCATGTGCCAAACAATGCAGGTTATTTTTCTGGTAGGAAGATGAATAGAGTAGAGGAAACCCATCACCATATTTAGGAATACGCTGTGAATAGGTACAGTTAACACTTATCCAACATGAAAAGAAACAACTTTCACAAATTTATGTATAAGACAAGTAAAATGGCAAAGTATGGGTAAAATACCGGATCTTCATATCTTACGACTATAAATTTGGCTTCACAGATTCTAGGAGCAATACCTGGCAGATAAATGAAACAACGGAACTGGACCTCCATTTAATTTGTATGAACATCAAGAACTACCACCACATAGCTCAGGAACTCTGCACCCAGTAGTACAAACAATCATCTACAGCATCAATAAAAAGATGCTCAAAAGCCTTTTGAAAGATGCTATAACAATGCAAACCCTTGATGAAGATGATTTCCAAACATATAGTACTGTAGATAAGTGACAGCAGGAAAAAAAGAAAAGGATTGCATGATGATATCAGAACAAAACCAGGAATTGATGAACACACATATCATCAAGCGAAGCATGCTAGGGAGCATTCCAACATGACATGCTTTGCCAAGGTCCATCCATTGAAAGGCTTCTATTCCACCTACAAACAAACAAGAAGTAATCCTGACAAAATTGTGACATGGAACGGTAGTGACAAAAAAAACATAGGCAATGCAGAAAAAGAATGGATGTAGGCAGGATTTTCTATGCCCATATATACTGTGAACAAGGAGAAATACCAACTGACAATGATGCTGGGAATACTAGCTACTAGATATAGTAAGTTCACTCTTGCTATTAGTTTCACATTTATAAGCACATATTTGATACAGATTCTTAGTTTATTCAGGCTAATGAGATAATGAGGACATAAGCTAGTCCTGGATGATTGCAGGCCAAGCTCATGCAGTAATAGAATGTTTTTTTAGAGGAAAGGTCGCGAGGACCCGGCTTATATAGAAAGCTAAAAGGAAAGTTCGCTGGGGTGCAGTAATAGAATGTCAAGATCACTTGATTATGAAGAGCAAGATGTGACGACCTTCGCATTTCGATTAAACCTCAAACTGATTACCTAATTCGATATTTGACAGTGAAACAATGATCTGGTGTTCATTATTCTTGAATGCCCTGTTCCAAGGAGTTGATTATGTGAAGTATGACAACTACAACAATGTTGGCATAACTTGCGTTCCACAACCTGAGGCCATGATGGGATAACCACCGCCTGGAGCATAGCTGGGCAGCGGCTACTAGAGAAGGGATGCAGATTTAGACCGGAGAGAGAACATTAGGGGGAGAGATTAGATTAATTCTTATTAACGATAATAGACACAATCCCATCCTTATATAGATGGAAAAACCTAACCCCTAAGTAAGGACTTGATATAATCTTATCTCTAACCTGCCTGTGGGCCTCGGCCTCTTGGCCCAATGCCCATGACAGTAGCTGACGGTTTAAGAGAATCATGTCAGTATGTTCACTAAGACAAACTCCGTATTCTTGGAATATTATAAAATAATATTTCAAGAGATCTCTTCTCACCGCAACAGCGGAGGATTAGTATAGTCAACAAAATGCTTTCTCACTATAGCTACTTTTATCCGGACTACTATGGTATAAAAAGCAATTACGACCAGAAAGAGCTAAACACCACTTAATGCCCTGTCAGTTTGTTAGCTCTCCCTGACATAGTACAGAAGTAAAAAAAAAAAAAAAGGTCCATCCAACCACAATTCTGAAATACTAAAATGGGGGCATATGTACTTGAATATATGTGTGCATGTGTGGGCGCACACACGCATGTGCAAAGAAATGTGACTATGGTAAAAAAAATGTTAAATGATTGATAAGGAGCAAATTCAGCAATTTTCAGGTGTGAAGAGTACCCCCCATTGACATAATTCTCAT